CATTAAGAGTGGGACTCATTAACGACGCAAGTGCACACTTTGCCCAATTGAATTCATGCGCATGACCAATCAACGCCGTATCTTAGTTCTTAGGTGGCTGACCGCCTCCGTGGTCTAGTGGTAGAGCGTCCGCCCGGAGAGCGGAAGGTCCGGGGTTTGATCCCCGGCCGCGTCATACCAAAAGACGTTAAAAGATGGTACTTGTTGTTACCCTGTCTGGCGCTCGGCATTAAGGGACAAAAACAAGGACTGGTCGGCTCGGAGTCAGTACACTGTGTCTGAGTGGGGTATTCATGTTAAACTGCGGCATGGTATCTCAGTGAGCTAGCACTATAAATCGGCATCAGTCCGGACTAGTACAAGCAGCCACACAAACACACACACACCAACGTGCATGCACGTCGCTATATAAGTGCAATAATCTTGGACGCGACGTTAAACCCCATTTCACCTCACCTCACCTCTTAGGTGGCTAGTTACTCGAGAGGGTAACGGCACTGGGTTCATTAACGGCTCGCTGGTGTGTTTTGTGTGTTTGTTTATGGTTATTGCATTGAGATAAGACACCTATTTGACGTCTAATGTGTGACGCCATTCTCAACCTTGACCTCAAGAACGAAGTATCTGTGTTGTTTTCATACTCCCCCTAAAACCAGACATTCTGGTCCACCTTTCACCTGTCTGGAAAAAAATTCTTTAAAAACATATCCCTACAGTTACGCTTCAAACATTCAAACGTCACACGACCGAGTTATGGACACATATGTTGGTTTAAAACTAAACTGAAATATTACTATAGCCACTAACAACAGTATCTTCCCACCCTACTATAGATAATAATGAGATGCTCGATTCTAGTATTAAATAATAAGGGGGCACGGGTGGCCCAGTCGTCTAAGGCGCCCGATTCGCTGTCCAGAGTTGCGTCCCTTGTCACGCCAGAAACCTATGATTGTGGGTTCGAATCCCGGTTCACCCCGATTATGTTTCTAGGTTTGTCAGCACCATACCCGTGCTCGTGGGTTTCACCGGAGTGGTAAACGTCTAAGACCTGCATCACTTCGGGCTTTCCTCCCACATTAAGCTGACACGCCGTGATATAACTGGAATACTGTTAAATACGGCGTTAAAACCCAACTCACTCACTCACTATTAAATAATAGTATGTGAATGTTTGTGTGTCAATCAAAATATAGGTCACTTGGTGCATCACGATCATGAGCCCAGGGGCCACAGCGTTAATACATTGCCCGAGTATGACCTTACCTTACCCCAAAATAAAACGAAGTTTTAAGTACAGCTTGCGTCGTAGAAGCTTCTCATTCTAACTATTTTCTTTACAAGTTTTTTATTCCTCGTCACCGGTGTGTTCCAAAGGCCAATACAGTAGACTACGGTTATAACGAACTCGAGGGGACCACTAATTTTAGTTCGTAATAACCGAAGATCGTTATATGCATACATACAGCATTTCAACAACAAATGGTCGGGACTAAAAATAAGTTCGTTATATCCGTCAGTTCGTTATAAGAGTGTTCGTTATAAACGTAGTTTACTGTATTTCTTTCAACCGAGACCTATTTAAAAACCTGTTGGAAACATTTTTTCAATGTTCTCAATTGTATTTTTAAACAATGAAACAGACAGGTGAGGTGAGGTGAAATTGGGTTTAACGTCGCGTCCAAGATTATTGCACTTATATAGTGACGTGCATGCACGGGGGTGTGTGCGGCTGTTCGTTCTAGTCCCGACTGATGCCGATTTATAGTGCTCGCACACTGAGATACCATGCCGCAGTTTAACATGAATGCCCCACTGTATACTGACTCCGAGCCGACCAATCCTTGTTTTAGCCCCTAAATGCCGAGCGCCAGACAGGGTAACAACAAGTACCATCTTTTAACGATTTGAATATTCTAAAACATGTTCTCCTCACTAAATGACGGGAATAATGCACTTACGAAGTTAGCTTTTAATTTCGCCGACTCTCAACGGGTCGACAAAGGCTATAGCACCGTGAATTCCAGTAACCCGAACACGTACATATATCGATATGTATTGTTACAAAGACTCGACTTATCGATGTTTTACATCAGCAACACTCAATTCCATCAACACAGCCGACGCTATGACCGATGATTTGAACGAAACGTCTATCATGTCGCCTTTATCTCCTGGTAAAACAAGCGAATGTGTGTTATGTAACGTGGGATCTCGCGTTGCTCCGTGATACCATTGACAGTTGTTGAAAACACTTGTTTCCCTGTATGTTTGAAATATCTGATTCTTGAAACAAGTCGACAGTTGTGTTCCCATGACGACAGCCATGTCAACATTTATTTAACTTAAACTGGTTATACAATGACGCAATTCTCTCACAGAAACTCACAGCGTCTTCAGTATATGCCTTTAGTTTCAGTTCTACCCTATGAATAGAAGTCTGTTTCTGTTCTCCCACAAAACCGTTATCGCGGACATAGACTTAAAACGTTTCATCAAAGTGCCATGTTCTCATGTAAACAAATTGAAAATAGACATAAGACTCTTCTAACGAGAAATTTATGACTCTAAATAGGATTACACTTAATATATAGTTAATTGGGTTTTTTTGCAATGGGTGCTTTTAGCGATATTCCAGCAATATCACGGCGGGGCGATCGGATTTTTTCTTATTGTATCCCTGTGTGGAATTGAACCTGAGACTACACCGTGACACACACACACACACACACACAAACACACACACACACACACACACACACACACACACACACACACACACACACACACACACACACACACACACACACACACAAACTAAACTAATGTTTGACCAACAAACGCATGTTATATGCAAGTATATTTGTAGTTTTGTAAGTGCTCCCCGACGCCTTTCTAAAAAAATGCTGCAATTATTATTGTCAGCATCAGCATCATTATCATTATCATTATTATTTTTTGGTTCCTCTCCGGCATCGCAGCCAGTGCATCCCGCCATGAGCCCTACTTTGAGCAGGGTTAGCTGTGATTACTCATAGAGCCCCTGACAGAGAAAGAGGCCAATTAAATGTGACAGCGAAGATGTTGGGGTTTTTTAACTGATGAAGTAGCTCCCTCGTTACACTTATAACGCCTGATGACTTTTCGCCATCGCCTTATCCATCTGCCAGACCAAGATACGCCAGGACGAAATCAATTAACACTGACAACGGCGCCTTATGCTGTTGAACAATTCAAAGCAGTATATCCAAATAAAAACGACAAAACCCTTTAAATATTCACAAGAAATCTTTGCAAAAAGGAAAGTCGATTGTACGATTCTATATCCAATAGCATATGTTAATAAATCGATATCGCGAAAAAGCGACCTTATCTTGCCACACTGGTGGTACCCGTTACAAACACATGCAAAGGCAAGTCTGTTGTTCACCTGAAAAAAACATAGAAACATAGAAACAAAGTCAAAGTTTGCTTCGTACATCATTCTTGTCACTGAGGCTTGAAATTTGGAAATACCCTTCCTTCATCTGCAATAAACATTTTGAAAGCTTTACTGAGACCTTGAATGTTGTAACCTTGATGAAACAACTTTTCAGCAAGAGTTGGTTGGTTGGTTTGTTGTTTAACGCCGCACTCAGCAATATTCCAGCTATATGACGGCGGTCTGTAAATAATCGAGTCTGGACCCGACAATCCAGTGATTGACATCATGAGCATCGATCCACGCAATTAGGATCGATGACATGCATCAACCAAGTCAGCGAGCCTGACCACCCGATCCCGTTAGTCGCCTTTCACGACAAGCATAGTTGCCTTTTATGGCAAGCATGGGTTGCTGAAGACCTATTCTACCCCGGATCTTCACGGGTCTTTCAGCAAGAGTCGCATGGCGCGTTTTGAAATCCTCGTAGAAAGAGCATGTTCGATAGTGCGTCCAAAACCGCCAGGTGAAGGAACCTAACAGATATCAATGGGTGTTTACAAAGCGTTCGTAAGACTGGACAGGCCTCTTCAGCAATATCAGAGATTTAACACATGCTGTTGGTCTGTCGTCAGTAGCTTGTGCTTATTGCAAGAAGGGGCAACAATGGTGATCGGATGGTCAGGGTTGTGATTTGGGCCGTTGTTCATGCTTTCAATTACTGGTTTGCCTTGTCCATACTCTATTATTACATTGAGAAATGGTGTGATACAGTTGGAATATCGTTTGACTGCGGCACGACACAACATTCACTCACTAGGCAATTTGTTTAAAGTAAAGGTGTTTAAATATAGGTGACGAAAATAGGTGACGATACACGAGCTTCTAACAACTGGTTGCCATACACGCAAAAGTGGATGCAAAAAGTTTACTTGTCACTTTTATGAAATCGGAACATTCAAACATAATTCCTCTGATGTAAACTGCCTGGCAAAATTAAATTGAATTAAATTAAATCTTTGATGGTGGCTGAAAATGACACGATCAAGAAATGGTTATTTGATGGTGATGTATTGAAACTTGTATCATAGTTGTATTTTGGACCTTAGTTTTGCAGTGTTTCGGCGCCTGTTTTCGGCCTAGTATTTGTTTTGTTTGTTTGTTTGTTGCTTAACGCCGCACTCAGCAATATTCCAGCTATATGACGGCGGTCTGTAAAATAATCGAGTCTGGACCAGACAATCCAGTGTTTGACATCATGAGCATCGATCAATGCAATTGGGATCGATGACATGTATCAACCAAGTCAGCGAGCCTGACCACCCGATCCCGTTAGTCGCCTTTTACGACAAGCATAGTCGCCTTTTACGGCAAGTATGGGTTGCTGTAGACCTATTCTACCCCGGAATCTTCACGGGTCTTCGGCCTAGTGACGTTTTGATAACGTTTGTAATATTTTGTTTTGTTTTAATTGTTTGCGTGTATACTTTCTTTTGCCCGGCAGTATATTACCATCTGCACAGCCTGAAATGTAAACGTTTTCATTGTAAGTGATTAATATGTATATTCTACCTTTCAGCTGATTTCAATAGAGAGCAAGCATCACCAGTCATTCCTTATACACAAGGCACAATTCAGATGTGTGAAACGCATCAACGCATCTGGTGAGTACTTATCCGTATGAACAGCTCTTTTTATCTTTCCTTACATTAAATTGCTAGCTCCTGACTGGTTCTGTAGCCGACAAATATGTTCCATGTAGCCAGCTCACAGGCGGGGCTGGGTTCGAATCCCGGTTCGCCCCGATTATGTTTCTAGGTTTGTCAGCACCAAACCCGTGCTCTTGGGTTTAACCGAAGTGGAAAACGTCGGAGACCTGCATCACTTCGGGCTTTCCTCCCACATTAAGCTGACACGCCGTGATATAACTGGAATACTGTTAAAAATGGCGTTAAACCCAACTCACTCACTCACTCACTCACTCACTCACTCACTCCCACAGGCGGGGTACAGATTTCGGGCAAAATGAGATGTCAATCGGCTCACATGTTAGGTGACTTGTTTATCTCGCATTAATATTGTGTTTCTGTTACACACAACCAAATGTTTTCCTACAGAGCAGCAATAAAAACAAAAAATTGACGAGCTCATCCAACTCTTTTTCCGATCACAGGAAGCTAATTACACCACCACCAGTTCCGCACAAAATGTAACTAGCTTGAACGTGTCTGTGGTCACATTCAGCTTAAGTCATCATGTTGATAAAGACAGTACTAAATATAGAAAAACATGGTCAGTTTTAATTACTGGATGGATGTACGTTTCAAAAACATTTAAAAAAATCTTACACAAAATCATCCAATAACAGCTACCAGATGGTTCAATCTGCATTGAAGGCTGTTGGAGTTGAACCTTTATCCGAATGCTTTCGGTAAAGGGAAGTAACTCGGTTCGTTTGCGTTGTCTGCCCGGTGTGTTGTTTTTTAACCGTTTTAAGTGTAACAGGATTTGTTAACTCAGTGAAACATACATTCCGAGCCTGTAAAAGTAAGTGAGTGAGTAAGTGTGGTTTAACACTGCATTTTTAGGCGATATTACATACATCATATCAATGAGTAGCTCACAACACGCAACCTATTTCAGCCTAGTAATTAACCTTTGTAGTTTTTTGGTCAAATCCAATTTTCAAGTGGACATTTTTTTTCGCCCGCAGTATACATTTATACAGTCCGCTCTAAAAAATAACGCTTACCGTTTCATGAAAAAAAATGATTGTATTTTTTCGGATGGTTGGAATAAAAGAAAAAACCTGCTTAAAGTTTCGTTTTTATCTATCTTGTAATCACTCCGTTTGTCTTTAAAACACTGTTGGCATGTAGTAGATACCATTCCGCTGTTTAACATGAAGGTCCCGCTCAGAATACTGAGGCCGCCGGTCTTTGCTTTTATCACCGACCTGAGAAGTTGAGGGGTAGAATAGGTCTTCAGCAACCCATGCTTGCCGTAAAAGGCGACTATGCTTGTCGTAAGAGACGACTATCGGGATCGAGTGGTCAGGCTCACCGACTTGGTTGATGCGTGTCATCGTATCCCAATTGCGTGGATCGATGCTCATGATGTCAATCACTGGATTGTCTGGTCCAGAGACAGAGAAAAATATAGAGAACTCCTTCCAGGTGAAAGTCTTCATTTGAATACAAAATAACAAAGAAGATTTTAGTCAACCACAGACCCTTGAAACAAACGTGCATCTATATCACCTTTTAATAATATTTCTGAAAAAAGAGAGTTAACTCTATGTTCAATTTTATATTTTATAACTATATTTTGTTGTTTCATTTATCCACATTTTACAGGAAATCTGATAACAATAACCTCCGGGTGATATGAGTTAACATCCATCTCTGTAAATCTTAAACAGCACTAGAGTGGGAACGTGTGTATAGCCTAACAAAACAGAGCATGACATGAAGACAAGAACTTATAAAAGGAATCTATCTGACAACCTATTTGAGAAGAACATTTAGTGATCATGTAGTAGTGTGTTACTTCATTCTGGAAAGTATGGAATGGTGGCATAGTTTTGTGAAACTTACTTTTGAAAATTACCTTTTTATAAAGTATAATAATAATGTTATTTAGATCATTGTTTCTTTGTGGTTTCGACCCGTGAAGATCCGGGTAAGAAATGGGCCTCAGCAACCCATGCATGCTGTAAAAGGCGACTATGCTTGTCGTAAAAGGCGACTAAAAGGATTGGGTGGTCAGGCTCGCTGACTTGGTTGATGCACGGTCATCGATCCCAATTACGTGGATCGATGCTCATGATATCAATAACTGGATTGTCTGGTCCAGACTCAATTATTTACAGACCGCCGTCATATAGCTGGAATATTGCTGAGTGCGGCGTTAAACAACCAACCAACCAATCAACTTTGTAGTTTCAACGTGTTTTTTTTGTTTTTTTTCTCGATAAGCCATAGTTCAAGTAATTTCCAGATAGTATACTTTGCTGCAATCCCAGAATATGTGAGTGATTGTATCTGTGTCTTTGGTGCAGAAACTACTACTGCTATCTAAATATCCTATTTTTGAAAAGAAATCATTAGTTGGTAAGATATGGTGTAATATTCTGTATTGGAATCATTGTAAACTGGTATTGTTTGTACATCTAAAAGGAGTTACCTTGTAGTGTGGTCAATCGTTAGGTATGGTATTATTCTGTAGGTTGAAGTCCAATTTTGTCGAGTGTTGATTATTTTTTTCTTGATATATCGCACTTAGTAACAGTTTAAGTAAGACTGATAATATTTTTCAATAATGTTATATTGTACCTGAATAGTTTCAATATTAACATTTAAGCGTAGCTATATAAACTCTCACTAATAGCTCAGTGGCATAGGTGTACTATTGTTAATAAACATGTAAATGAATGTTTTCTTAGTGTGTATGACATGGATACAGTGTAGAAGAAACAAAGGCGTTATGACCAGAATTCATTTGTATACCATCAGCAGCTGTAATTAGGTCCTAATACATCTGTCACGCGTTATACAAATAGTTTGTCGGAGCGCATAATTAAAAATTAAAACAATATGAGACAGTATATATACTGATAATTTACATCTATTTGTTGAGCAAAAATCAATGGAGAGTAGCCTGGTCATTTTCCCGAAGCCTTGGGCGGCATGTGGCTTCAATATCATATTTATATTACTGAGCGTTGGTCAATGTGTTTATTCAGTAAACAAAGATCTAAGCATACAAAGACAGTATTTCCTTAATCGAACACACGCTGTGCTGTCCACAGCTGGTGACTGTCTAATATCTGTAGAAATAATGTAGTTGTTAGGCCTATTACGAACTAACCTTTGTTTGGCAGATGGGTTTCGTTAAGGCTTGTAATTTTGTTGTTTCTTCCTTACCCCGACTTGACTTCCCTTGACTCCTAAATGAACTAGCAAACAATTAGTTGCCCTCTTTTTCTGTATTGACTATTGCTCATTATTCATAATGTTTAGAGAATCTATAGGAAGGAGTAATGTATGGTAGTCAAAACTATCTAAACATGTTTTCTATTTACAGTTTATGAAGCTACACATTGTATAAAATGTTTGCTTAGGCACAAAAACCCGCTGTCCATTTGAATGTTTTTGGGTTATGAGGTTTGTATGTGACTTTTCCCATCCCTTATCTGAAACATTTGTAAATATAACTGGATATATATTTAAAAACCTGCTGTCCATCTGAATGCTTTTGGGGTGTCAGGTTTGTATGTGACGTTTCCCATCCTTTATCTGAAACATCTTTATAACAAAACTGGATATATATTTAAAAACCCACTGTCCATTTGAATGTTTTTGTGTATTTTGTATTTTGTATGAGGTTTGTATGTGACGATTCCCATCCCTTATCTGAAATATTTGTAAATATGACTGGATATATATTTAAAAACCCGCTGTCCATTTGAATGTTTTTGGGTATTTTGTATTTTGTATGAGGTTTGTATGTGACGATTCCCATCCCTTATGTGAAACATTTGTAAATATTACTGGATATATATTTAAAAACCCGCCGTCCATTTGAATGTTTTTGGGTATTTTGTATTTTGTATGAGGTTTGTATGTGACGATTCCCATCCCTTATCTGAAACATTTGTAAATATTACTGGATATATATTTAAAAACCCGCTGTCCATTTGAATGCTTTTGGGATATGAGGTTTGTATGTGACGTTTCCCATCCTTTATCTGAAACATCTTTATAAATATAGCTGGATATATTATTTAAAAACCCGCTGTCTATTTGAATGTTTTTGGGGTATGAGGTTTGTATGTGACGTTTCCCATCCTTTATCTGAAACATCTTTATAAATATAGCTGGATATACATTTAAAAGCCCGCTGTCCATTTGAATGTTTTTGGGGTATGAGGTTTGTATGTGACGTTTCCCATCCTTTATCTGAAACATCTTTATAAAAAAAACTGGATATATATTAAAAACCCGCTGTCCATTTGAATGTTTTTTGGTATTTTGTATTTTGTAAAAGGTTTGTATGTGACGATTCCCATCCCTTATGTGAAACATTTGTAAATATGACTGGATATATATTTAAAAACCCGCTGTCCATTTGAATGTTTTTGGGTATTTTGTATTTTGTATGAGGTTTGTATGTGACGTTTCCCATCCTTTATCTGAAACATCTTTATAAATATAGCTGGATATACATTTAAAAGCCCGCTGTCCATTTGAATGTTTTTGGGGTATGAGGTTTGTATGTGACGTTTCCCATCCTTTATCTGAAACATCTTTATAAAAATAACTGGATATATATTAAAAACCCGCTGTCCATTTGAATGTTTTTTGGTATTTTGTATTTTGTAAAAGGTTTGTATGTGACGATTCCCATCCCTTATGTGAAACATTTGTAAATATGACTGGATATATATTTAAAAACCCGCTGTCCATTTGAATGTTTTTGGGTATTTTGTATTTTGTATGAGGTTTGTATGTGACGTTTCCCATCCTTTATCTGAAACATCTTTATAAATATAGCTGGATATATATTTAAAAACCTGCTGTCCATTTGAATGCTTTTGGGGTATGAGGTTTGTAGGTGACGTTTCCTATCCTTTATCTGAAACATTTTTATAAATATAACTGGATATATATTTAAAAACCCGCTGTCCATTTGAATGTTTTTGGGTATTTTGTATTTTGTATGAGGTTTGTATGTGACGTTTCCCATCCTTTATCTGAAACATCTTTATAAATATAACTGGATATATATTAAAAAACCCGCTGTCCATTTGAATGTTTTTGGGTGTGAGGTTTGCATGTGACTTTTCTCATCCCTTATCTGAAACATTTGTAAATATAACTGGGTATATATTTATAGCCCCGCTGTCCATTTGAATGCTTTAGGGATATGAGGTTTGTATGTGACTTTTCCCATCTCTTATCTGAAACATCTTTATAAATATAACTGAGATATATATATATATATATATTCGTGCTTGTCACAACTCCACTTTATCTTTATAACTTTATCCACACAAGATCTGTCGCCGTTGAACGGCTCTTTAGGTGTAATGAAAATTTACATGTGATGCGTGATGAGACTTTCACACAGAGTTGTAAAGCAGGTCGATATTCTCGGGGCAAAGGGGCGGCCGGGTAGCCTAGTGGTTAAAGTGTTTGCTCGTTACGCCGAAGACCCGGGGTCGATTCCCGACATGGGTGCATTGTGTCAAGCCCTTTTCTGGTGTCCCTGGTGTTTTATGGAATCTTTCATGATCCTATGACCGAACATTCAGGAGCGTATGAAACAGAGGCTAAATCGAAAATGTGTCATACACGATATTAAGGGTAATGGAATCTGCATCATATGAAAAGTATTTAATATTATTGCGCACATTAGAAAACATTAGAACACGATGACCATATATTTACACCTCTGTCATAGATTCTTGAATGCCAATTTATTTCATGACCTGCGTAATGAATGCAAATTTGGGGAATAGTGTTCCTACGTGTGGCTTATTGACGAGCATGGTAACAACAAATACCATCTTTTAACGTCTTTTGGTCTGGCGCGGCCCGGGATCGAACCACCGTCTTTCCGCTTTCCGGGATGTACTCCACCCACTGAACCAGGGGGGCGGCTGGTTGATTGGCTGCTGTCAACATGGCAGTAAGATGATGCAGAATGAGGCTTAAGTTTGGCTTTTACCCTTCCTCATCCCGTGTAAACTTCATCGACAATTATGATGACATTACAGTTTTATCTCCAGGCTGTTGGTGTCGGCTGTAAAGGTTTCCCTGTCCAATTGGCTTCCGTGCAGTGCTCTAAGGTGCAATCCTGTAATTTCTTGCGTAAAAAATGTGATGTCATTATAACATAAATAGCAACATGGTTCAGTCTGTTCACAGTGCTCGAGGACCATACATCCTTCACTTTAAATAACTTTCCCTTTTTGCAATATAGACCGTTCGAATTTTTTTTTGCTTTTTTTATCCTTACTTCTAGCAGGAACACGTCATTCGAAACACACATATGTTCATACTTGATAGAATGCATATTAGTCTTTTGAAATAATATTTTGAACGTCTAATGAATTATGATTGGTAACTGAATTATCTAGTCGTATTGCAGACACACACAAACACGCACACGCATCGTTACACGAAATGGCGTTTTTATCTACAATGAAGACCGATACTCCGAGCTCCTTCATGGGAGAAAATATAATGGTCTTTGCACAATCCTTGTCGGCATTTGTCATGATCGGAAAACCTTTATCTCGAACTCCAGGTATCTCGACATGTGTTATATTATCTCTAGAATTACGAGTTAAGGAGGTTTCACTGCATTCGAGATACATACCCGTTTCTCCATGAATGCAACACGGGAAACGGTTATGAATAAAAGTTTGGGAAAAAAAACTAAAGTATACTACTCATGATTTTATCTTATGTTTGATTTTCAATTGAAAATGTCTTAAGTTCACGATATTATATCCCAAAAATAATTTCGCATGATGCACAACTTCTGATTTGTATGATTTTCTTTGATATCTTATCTTTGAAATTCAATAAATTTCCAACATGGTAGGGGTTTTGTTTTACCCCTGTCTTTTTTTAACCAATCTACCTTTATACAAAAATACCCAGCCCTAAATTTCTTTTAACAAACTATTGCGGGATTGAGTGAACGTTAAAAAGTCATAGTCAAATTTAAGAACAGTTCTTTCAGGTTTGAATTGCCTCAAAAAGAAAACTCGATATACCGTATTCGATGTAATAAGCGCCAAGGGGGCTCTCAAAATTAGAAATAGGGGCTCTTATTAGAATATTATTTTGGTGAAAAAAAACAGAGTTGAAAGATAAATTTCGTGGTTTATGCTGACAGCCTGAAATGTTTATATACGAAAGATATATTTTTCCAGAATTTAAATGCCCATTATTAAGGGTGCATATAACACACGAGTGCGTATTATACGCGAATAAATAAGTCTTTTGTACATTGACCAATCGGAAGGGGTGCTAATTGCGATTGTAGACGAGCCAAATATCGCCGTGGGCGCTTATTAGAGCGGGGCGCGTATAACGTCGAATGCGGTACTTTCTTTTGCCTCTCAGCTTATGTCAATATGTCTTATGAAACCAGATTGGAACTACGAAACACATGGCGGCCAGTGGTGCCCCCCAACTTGGGACGAAGTCCTCTGCTGGGACAAAGCCCCTGCAGGGCAGGCTGTGCTCCAACGATGTCCCAACTACATCAGCGGCTTCGACACTGACCGTAAGTACCAACGCCTCCTTCACTTAATACCGGTATATCTAAATTCAATGTGACAATCAGTTCGTAATGTCAGTAGTTATGGCGACGAGCAGTAACACTGATTTTTAATCCCATTTATTCGTCCTGTTTGAAGCGTCACTGTTTTGTTTCTACATATGAGTCCCAACTGATAGTTATATCACAGGGATCTATGTGCAAAAATGTGACGTTATTAGGTCACATGTTACTTCAGGTCTTCAAGCCTATGGATATCGCTCGTTGGCTTTCTTTAATATGACAGATTCTTAGAGATTTCTTATGAATGTGGAAAGGGTTTTTGATGCATTATTTTACAGAAGGGGTAGCGGTTGGCCAGTTGTCTAAGACATGTCAGGATCAGGATCGTGGCATTGGTCAGTCAGCACGACCACCCCCCTTTCGTGCCATGGAGGGAGCAACAATTTCCTTTTCAGGATTTCCCTAAACGGCTATAGCCTTCGTCACATCCACTTTTAATTTACTTCGTGCTCGTTTCAAGTCAAATGTCTCCATTCTACAAGAGGTTTATCATATTACGAGACACACAAAGTTCAATTGAGAAGAGAAAACTCTTTGTAAAAAATAAGATATTTTTTTTACACTCGGGAAACGCGTTTTTCGATTGTATGATCCTTGTTAACGTACGTTTATACGAAAACAGCAATTGCTTTCATTTCCCCTTTCCTCCACGTGGTCGATTACAACGTCATCCATTTTTTACATCTGAGGATGTTCATCTGTCTAACTCGTCGTGACAGAGGAAGTGGACATCGCAATGGAGCCCCCTCCATCAATCTATTCCTCCATCGCTCTTCTTGGGGCACGACATCTTGGCTTCTCTTGGATTAACACTTGAGGGCGTTTGCAAAGGTTGCTAGATTGATGAAGAACACGTTATGGAATAGGAAGGAAAAACACATAACTGAAATTAATAGATGGAACCCGTATACAACTTAATCTGAATTTCGCAAAGGATATAGGTGATGAAATCATGTGTATGTGCGTGCGTGCGTGCGTGCGTGCGTGCGTGCGCGTGTGTGTCTGTCTGTGGTTGTACTAATCCAAGTCCTGACTGGTGCCGGTTTTATACTGCTAGCCCACAGAGATAAATTATCATACCACAGTTTAACATGGATACCCCACTGAGAATACTGACTCCATGTATTACACGCTTAATGCCGAGTGCCAGGCAGATTTTGTTCAACTCTCGTTCTCACTGACCCTGAGGGCACGCGTGGCCCTGTCGTCTAAGGCGCAGCAATTGACTGTGCAGAGTTCCATCCCTTGGGCACGCAAGAAACCTTTGACTTCCAATCCAGGTTCGAGTGAACCTTTCATCCCACGTCAAGCTGTTGCTCAGTGATCTAACTGAAATACTTGTTCCAAAAGGCGTTAAATCGACATGCGTTATGGGCCCGACTATTTGATAATCTGTGGGGAAGTGGACAAAGGTTTTGTATGAAAATTGGATATTTTTTCAGCTACAGATGTAGAATCGCATATTTTTTAATTGCAATTATGATTCGAAATCATCGTGCATCTTACAACAATTTATCAAGTTGGAGTTTGAATTATAATTATATTTTACAGTATTTTCTGGCAAAATATACCCCCTCCGCCACCCCCTTTTCACATCTTCCCGAGGCAAGAGAGTTAACTGACTATAAAAGTCCAGTTTCCACCCTTGCCGAACTAGGCTTGTATTATGGAGTTACATTTTGACTGGACTAACGAGTCTATGCATAGTCCAATCAAAATCGCGCACCGAAATCGAAATCCGGTTCGTAAACTGTCCTGCAGATTTCGGTCGATTGCAGGATTTGCAAAGCATGTGCACCGCTAACTCGTTGTCAGCAGATATTTTTCAAATCTTTTCATGTTTTTAATCAAGGTGCTCACGTGATTTGATGCTTTTCGCGATGTAAGACCCGTTTTATCACAATATAGATCTTGATTATCGATCAGATCGTCCTGACTCGGCGCCACCATTTTGTGTGAAGCAAACGCAAGTGATGAGAGAGGTGAAATCTGACTGGTCCATAGGAGAGGCTTAAAAGGGACATAACTGGTAATAGCCACTGGTGGCGCTACGATCGTGCCCAGTATTTCCAGCCTAGTTCTGCAAGGGTGGAAACTGGACTTTTAAAGTCAGTTAACTCCCTTGCCTCGGGAAGATGACTTTTCACGAACACCTGGTACCATCACTATTTGGTAGGGATTCAATGTACAGTCATAATCTTCAACGAACTCTGGTTTTAGCAGATATTTCTTATGGAAAGGGTTGTTGTTATATCGCTTCTTCAAACAGTTGCTATTATTTTCAAAACATGTCTTATCCAAGCCCGATTTTTTTTCCTTCAACGAAAAATGAAACAAATCACTTTGTAATATCGCCGAAAAAGGCTGTTTTTAATAAGTGCTATAAACTCTGTCAAACCGTCTACCAATATATTGATTATACACAAATGAGACTGACATATGAAAATACCGTACAAGAATTATTCACGCATTCCTGCTCAGCAGAATTAAACAAATATAAATAACCAGCAGATTAAGAAGCATTTCTATAAAATACAGTCAAAGAATATTTTTGTAAGCAAGATATTTCATTTGGAATACGGGTAAGGAAGGTCATGCTCAGCTTTCCGCGAATACCCAGTGTGATCACTGATTTTCAGTGATCCATTCATATCATGTTCTGGTGGTGGAGCGTCCGCCCGGAGAGCGGAAGGTCCGGGGTTCGATTCCCGGCCGCGTCATACCGAAAGACGTTAAAAGATGGAACTTGTTGTCACCCTGTCTGGCGCTCGGCATTAAGGGGCTAAAACAAGGGCTGATCGGCGCGGAGTCAGTATACTGTGTGGGGTATTCATGTTAAAATCCGGCATGGTGTCTCAGTCTGCAAGTACTATAAATCGGCATCAGTCAGGAATAGTACAAGCAACCACACACACACACACACACACACACACACACACACACACACACACACACACACACACACACACACACACACACATACACACACACACACACACACGTGCATGCACGTCCCTATGGGCGCGATGTTAAACCCCATTTCACTTCACCATAACATGTGCACGGGTGGCCCAGTCGTCTAAGGCGCCGCGATTCACTGTGCAGAGTTGCGTCCCTTGGGCACGCCAGTTACCTATGGTTGTGGGTTCGAATCCCGGTTCGCCCCGCTTATGTTTCTAGGTTTGTCAGCACTATACCCGTACTCGTGGGTTTCACCGAAGTGGTAAACGTCTGAGACCTGCATCACTTGGGGCTTTCCTCCCACATTAAGCTGACACGCCGTGATAAAACTGGAACATTGTTAAAAGCAGCGTTAAACCCAACTCACTCACTCAATGCTATTTGACTTGCGCTTAATAACATCTGTTTCGGTGGATGATCGAAACTTGTTATTCTCTGCCGTTATTTGAAACATGTTCTAATAATGAAAGCAACAAAATTAAATAAAATAAATTATTCAGATAAATAATGATTTCAGACCATGCCGAGAGAAGATGTACCGAGAACGGGACGTGGTGGTTCAACCCAAGCATCAACAAGACATGGACCAACTTCTCACAGTGCAGTCCAACCAGAGACATCGACCTGATGGGAAGTATGGTAATACAACTGTATAATACCTAGTACCATTGTTGATAGTATTGGTTGCCATGGTAGTTGATTGTGGGAATACCTAGTACCATTGTTGATAGTATTGGTTGTCATGGTAGTTGATTGTTGAAATACCTAGTACCATTGTTGATAGTATTGGTTGTCATGGTAGTTGATTGTGGGAATACCTAGTACCTTTGTTGATAGTATTGGTTGTCATGGTATTTGATTGTGGGAATACCTTGTACCTTTGTTGATAGTATTGGTTGTCATGGTAGTTGATTGTGGGAATACCTAGTACCATTGTTGATAGTTTTGGTTGCCATGGTAGTTGATTGTGGGAATACCTAGTACCTTTGTTGATAGTATTGGTTGTCATGGTATTTGATTGTGGGAATACCTAATATCATTGTTGATAGTATTGGTTGCCATGGTAGTTGATTGTGGAAATACCTAGTACCATTGTTGATAGTATTGGTTGCCATGGTAGTTGATTGTGGAAATACCTAGTACCTTTGTTGATAGTATTGGTTGCCATGGTAGTTGATTGTGGAAATACCTAATACCATTGTTGATAGTACTGGTTGCCATGGTAGTTGATTGTTGAAATACCTAGTACGTTTGTTGATAGTACTGGTTGTCATGGTAGTTGATTGTGGGAATACCGAGTACCATTGTTGATAATATTTGGTTATCATGGTAGTTGATTGTGGGAATACCGAGTACCTTTGTTGATAGTACTGGTTGTCATGGTAGTTGATTGTGGGAATACCTAATACCATTGTTGATAGTACTGGTTGTCGTGGTAGTTGATTGTGGGAATACCGAGTACCATTGTTGATAGTATTGGTTGCCTAGTAGTTGATTGTGGGAATACCTAGTACCTTTGTTGATAGTATTGGTTGCCATGGTAGTTTGTTGTGGGAATACCTAGTACCTTTGTTGATAGTTTTGGTTGCCATGGTAGTTGATGGTGGGAATACCTAGTACCTTTGTTGATAGTATTGGTTGCCATGGTAGTTGACTGTGAGAATACCGAGTACCTTTGTTGATAGTATTGGTTGTCATGGTAGTTGATTGTGGGAATACCGAGTACCTTTGTTGGTAGTACTGGTTGTCATGGTAGTTGATTGTGGGAATACCGAGTACCTTTGTTGATAGTACTGGTTGTCATGGTAGTTGATTGTGGGAATACCGAGTACCATTGTTGATAATATTTGGTTATCATGGTAGTTGATTGTGGGATTACCGAGTACCTTTGTTGATAGTATTGGTTGTCATGGTAGTTGATTGTGGGAATACCGAGTACCATTGTTGATAATATTTGGTTATCATGGTAGTTGATTGTGGGAATACCGAGTACCTTTGTTGATAGTACTGGTTGTCATGGTAGTTGATTGTGGGAATACCGAGTACCATTGTTGATAGTATTGGTTGTCATGGTAGTTGATTGTTGGAATACCTAGTACCTTTGTTGATAGTATTGGTTGCCATGGTAGTTGATTGTGGGAATACCGAGTACCATTGTTGATAATATTTTGGTTGTCATGGTAGTTGATTGTGGGAATACCGAGTACCATTGTTGATAGTATTGGTTGTCATGGTAGTTGATTGTGGGAATACCGAGTACCACTGTTGATAGTTTTGGTTGTCATGGTAGTTGATTGTGGGAATACCTGGTACCATTGTTGATAGTATTGGGTGTCATGGTAGTTGATTGTGGGAAGTATGGTATTATACGTAAGGATTGACTATGGATTCTTTTCGGTTCATTGTGGTATGAATCGAAAAACCGATGTGCAAACTCTACGAATCCGCGTATCGTAACGGATTCTTACAAAAGTTTGCACATCGGTTTTTCGATTCATACCCCAATGAACCGAAACAAATCAACAGTCAATCCTTTTAATCAAATTCGAAAAAAACGTGTGTTATCTACAATAGTTTAACCAAAAACAGTTGTATATATCAAAGAAGACAAAAATGACGAGATTGATAAACATTCCAGGTGTATGAATACATACTGTGGCCTGACATGAATCAGGTGATCGTTTAATTTATGCACATAACTTGACATGCCCACACAGTCAGTAGCCAATCAACGGAGAGTAGGATTAAAACAAAGTTCATAGGACCTGTCAATCAAGGCAAGGGGCCAGATGAACTGCAACAGTGACACCGTCACGAACCAGAATATATATGTTCCGGCGAAGGCGGTATTTTCAAATGACATGGTCAGTTACCGCCAGATGAAAACATTTGTTCCCCGAGAACGGAAAAATGCGTGTTAGAAATGAAACCTGAAGACATGACATTTGTGGAACCCAGGCGAGCGAGCCTGCACGTTGCTGTTTCATTCCTTCTCGGCTTTCGGTCTAAAATGGTAGTTTGGACAATGAATAAGCATGAATATCGCTTACTGCTCTGCGCATGACGAGACACGTGAGCAGTAAGTGAATTCCCATGACTGTAATATTGGGATTCACCGACGTTCCAATGTAATAAAAGTAGTCCGCTTCGGTGGGCGTGGCTTAATTTTTTACATTCATTGAATAATGAATACTATAACACATGACCAGTTCATAGTATTGGTTGTCATGGTAGTTGATTGAGGGAAATGTGGTAAAATACTACCGTATAATACCTAGTACCAGTGTTAATAGTATTAATTGACTGAGTGAGAATGGGTTGGGTTTAACGCCGCTTCTAACACTATTACAGTTTTATCACGGTGTGTCAGCTTAATGTGGGAGGAAAGCCCGAAGTGATGCAGGTCTCACACGTTTACCTCTTCGGTGAAACCCACGAGCACGGGTATGGTGCTGACAAACCTAGAAACATAATCGGGGCGAACCGGGATTCGAAGCCACAATCATAGGTTTCTGGCGTGCCAAAGGGACACAACTCTGCACAGCGAATGGCGGCGCCTTAGACGACTGGGCCACCCGTACTCCCTGTATTAACTGAAGATTTGGATTGATGTTATTCTATTGTGAACACTGTAATGAATTTAACAAACTGTCAAAAATATGAGTTTCATCGTAATTAATAAAAAAATATATTAAGCAATCATACTGTTACCAAAATAAAACTGTGTTATTTAAGACCAGTGCAAAATATAATATAATATCGTAATCTAATAAATGTCCATGTCATAGTTGCCGTCCAGAAGAAAAGGTTATTTATAATGAAATATATGATTTTATAATGTAAATAAATTTCTCTTTTAGACTGCAATATATTTATAATAATGCGCTGATTACGTTGATTTGAAATGATTATTAAATTAACGAAAAATAAAATTATTTTGTCATGACAAATAATCATATTTGTCCAAACCGTGAACAGTGCTCATGAACCGCTATTGAATAGTGATGACTCCGTGCATTGAGCATTGAATCTGGTGCTACAATGTTGTTGTTGTTGTTGTTTTTGTTGTTGTTGTTATAGTTGTCTTTGTTTTTATTATTTTTTTTATTATTAATATAATCATTGGTTATTGTTATTGTCATGGCCCGATTTGTTTGTTTCCATTATAAAATACAAGACACAATTGATTGACATGTGTTTGACTCTGTTGAACAGACAGGCGCCAACCGACTGAAGATGCTGTACACGGTGGGGTATGGGATATCCCTCGGCTCCCTCATCATCGCCGTCATCATCATGTTGTGCTGCAGGTAACACGTGTTGCAGTGCGCCATTTGATCTAGGAGTACCTACATTAAATTTTGATATTTGATAAAAATTCATATCAAAATAGGTAAAGCATATTTACTTATGATATTTTATCAAACATTGAAATCTATTTTGACATATAGTAATAGTGCGCCATTTCATCTGGTAGTCCTTACATTAAATTTTGATATTTGATAAAAAAAATTCTGAATGGGTAAAGCTTATTTACATATGATGTTTTATCAAATATCTAAACTTATTTTAAGGAGTACCAGAGCAAATGTTAAAACTGTGACTCATATTGACCACTCGAGCTGCATGAAAGGCTTAGCTTTTGTATTAACGTTCCCTGAGGGGACACCGATTGTTAACTTAGGCAAAGCTGTATAACAATTTGAATTATACAAGGGCTGGCTGAAAAGTTCTAAGCCTTAGTGGGATATCTCAATCGGATTGAAACAAACTTTTGCCACCAACAAGTTCAATCATTTAATGAATCATAGACATAAGAACTGCAACTGTAGTGTTATTATTGTCTTTGTACCAGACCATCTTGTGAACCTACCCACTGAAATCACCAGAAATGGACAAAACTGGCTATAGGGCAGTCATCAAGTATCTGCAACTAAAAGGGCTAACTCCAACACAGATACATGCTGACATGGTCTCCACTTTAGGAGATGATGCCCCTTCCTTTTCCACTGTAAAGAAGTGGGCTGCGGAATTCAAGCGTGGCAGAGAGAGCCTTGACGATGACCCGCGTCCAGGAAGGCCTTCAACAGCAACCATTCCGGAAAACATTACCCGGGTGCATGACATGGTGATGGCTGATATTGCCAGTGTTGTGGGCATCTCTCATGAGAGGGTTAAGCACATTATCACCAACGAGTTGGGAATGACAAAAGTATCTGCAAGATGGGTGCCAAAGCTCTTGACAGCGGATCAGAAACGTGTCAGATTCCTGACGTCCCGTGACAATTTATGCCGTTTTGAAGCAGATCCCGAGGATTTTTGGCCCGATTTGTAACCATGGATGGGACCTGGATTCATCACTTTCAACCAGAAACCAAAATTCAGTCTAAGCAATGGAAGCATCAGGAATCACGAGCCCCCCAAAAGGCCAAGTCGGTTCCTTCTGCTGGAAAGGTGATGGCTTCAGTCTTTTCGGATTCCAAGGGTATTCTGCTGATTGACTATCTTGAAAAAGGCCAGACTATCAATAAAAGATATGAGGCTGACCTACTGAGACAGTTGCGTGAAGCTATCAAACTTAAGCGACGGGGAATGCTCACAAAAGGAGTCCTGTTCCACCAAGACAATGCTCCTGTTCACAAATCGATGGTTGCCATGTCAGCGATCCATGATTGTGGCTTCGAACTCATTGACCATCCCCCTTATTCACCCGATTTGGCCCCGTCAGACTTACACCTGTTTCCCAAAATGAAAAAGGAACTAGCCGGTCGCCATTTTCCTAGTAATGATGACGTCATTTCCGCTGTGAATGACTTTTTTAGGGTGGCTGAAGAAAATTTCTTCTTGGCCGGCATCAAAGTACAAGTGTGTAAACCTGGAAGGGGACTATGTGGACAAATAAATGAAAACCATCGACTTGGTACGGGTCTTTCACAGTTAGGCTTCGAATTTTTCAGCCAGCCCTCGTATATTGTTACGATGTACGGATAATAATCTCCTTATTCAGTAAACTGCGGTTATAACGAACTCAAAGGGACCACTAATTTTATGTCGTTATAACCGTAGTAACTACAGCAAATTTTAAGTTCGTTATATCCGTCAATTCGTTTTAAGCATGTTCGTTATAAACATAGGTTACTGTAGATATTCATCTAACGATTCATTAATACGTTATCACCTGTGCATACTCACAAACTACCCGGGGGCACGGGTGGCCCAGTCGTCTAAGGCGCCGCGATTCGCTGTGCAGAGTTGCGTCCCTTAGGCACGTCAGAAACTTATGATTGTGGCTTCGAATCCCGGTTCGCCCCGATTATGTTTCTAGGTTTATCAGCACCATACACGTGCTCGCAGGTTTCACCGAAGTGGTAAACGTCTGAGACCTGCGCCACTTCGGGCTTTCCTCCCACATTAAGCTGACACGCCGCGATATAACTGGAATATTGTTAACAGCGGCGTTAAACCCAACTCACTCACTCACTCACAAACTACCCAGACCGCCTCCGTGGTCTAGTGGATAGAGCGTTTACCCAGAGAGAGGAGGGTCTGTGGTGCAATGCCGCGCCGGTTCATACCACAAGACGTTAAAATATGGTATTTGTTGTTTCCCTGCCTGGTGCTTGGCGTTTAGGGGATAAAACAAGGACTGGTCGGGTATCTTTCTGTATGCTGTGTCTGAGTGGTGTGACCGCCTCCGCGGTCTTGTGGTAGAGCGTCCGTCCGGAGTGCGGAAGGTCCGGGCTTCGATCCCCGGCCGCGTCATACCAAAAGACGTTAAAAGATGGAACTTGTTGTTACCCTGTCTGGCGCTCGGCATTAAGGGGCTAAAACACGGACTGGTCGGCTCGGAGTCAGTATACTGTGTCTGAGTGGGGTATTCATGTTAAACTGCGGCATGGTATCTCAGTGAGCTAGCACTATAAATCGGCATCAGTCCGGACTAGTACAAGCAGCCACACACACACACACACACACACACGTACATGCACGTCGCTATATAAGTGCAATAATCTTGGACGCGACGTTAAACCCCATTTCACATCACCTCACCTCACCTCACCTCACCTCTGAGTGGTGTTTTCGTGTGAAGACCTATATCAGGGCACCTCATCTCGCACCACCTCCTTGTTTTCATCACTGGGCAGTTGGGGGCGGTCGGGTAGCCTAGTGGTTAAAGCGTTCGCTCGTCACGCCAAAGACCCGGGTTCGAATCCCGACGTGGGTACACTGTGTGAAGCCCATTTCTGGTGTCCCCCGCCCTGATTGTTAAAAGCGGCGTAAAACCAAACTCACTCACTCACTCACTGGGCAGTTGAGTGAGTGAGTATGGTTTTACGCCGCTTTTAGCAATATTCCAGGAATATCACGACGGGGGACACCAGAAATGAGTGGGCAGTTGAGGATCCATCCTAGTGTTTGCTCCTCGCAATGAAGAATGAGCTTGAGTAAAAAATATGCTTATGTGTCAAACTGTTGTATCGTACCCCAGCTGGGTTTCTTTTTGATGATATATTGATATAGGCATTAACACCACATTCACTCTCTGGTTCCAAGGGGCACGGGTGGCCCAGTCGTCTAAGGCGCCGCGATTCGCTGTGCAGAGTTGCGTCCCTTGGGCACACCAGAAACCTATGATTGTGGGTTCGAATCCCGGTTCGCCCCGATTATGTTTCTAGGTTTGTCAGCACCATACCCATGCTCGTGGGTTTCAGCGAAGTTGTAAACGTCTGAGACCTGCATCACTTCGTGACACATTAAGCTGACACGCCTTGATATGACTGGAATACTGTTAAAAGCGGCGTTAAACCCATCTCACACACTCACTCACTCTGGTTCCATTCTATCAAAGGCAATGCTGATATTGAATATACCAGCTGAATAGCATCTGGGCTGATTAAGAATTGTGAAGATCTATACTTGCTTTTGCCGTTGTTCCGGGCAAAAGTAAGTATAGACCTGAAAAGACTGAAAACAGTCACCGAATCTTGTTTGTTTCATTTTTGTTTAGTATAGTTTAAAATATCGCCTTCTGGGAAATAGCTCTTCCATCGTACCATTATTCAGACCAGTGATCAACTGTTTGCGTTTGTTTGTTCTTTGTTTGCTGTAAGGGGCGGTCGGGTAGCCTAGTGGTTTAAGCGTTTGCTTATGTTATGCCGAAGACCCGGGTTCGATTCCCCACATTGGTACAATGTTCGAAGCCCATTTCTGGTGTCCCCAGCCGTAATATTGCTGGAATATTTCTAAAATCAAGATAGACACAATTTTTTTTTTTTTTTTTTTTTTTTTTTTTTTTCTATCTTGTCATCCGTCAACTTCTAAGTAATGCCTATCAAACAAGTTAATTTCTAAAAGCGTAAAACCATACTCACTCACTTGTGTGCACTCTGCAATATTCAAGCTGTACAGCTGCAGTCTGTAAATAATCAAGTGTCGGTATCCACAACACAACTGTGATACCCGTGTTCAATGCATCACCATCAGATAAGCATTTTTTGTTTGTTTTATTTCAGCCCCCATCAAACATGGGTGTATACTCCTGCCCGGTAGTTTATAAAGTTCAAATATAAAGCCCGACCTTTTAATTTCACAGATATAATATTCTCGTCTTTATTTTGCAGGCGGCTCAACTCAAAGAGCAACACGCTCCATATCAATCTGTTCTTTGCCTTTATTCTGCGAGCCTCGGTTTCATTCCTCAAGGGGGCGCTGTTTGTCCGCCAGGTGGGCCTGGAGAAGGATGTCAGAGAGAACGAAGATGGCATACTGGAGTTCGTAGACGGGCCGGTTAGTATAGCTCCTGCTCTTATATGTGTCCTGTTCTTTTAGTTGTTGTCGTCGTTGTAGTGTTTCAGCATAAAGAGTAGTTGGTTTCTGCTGGCTAAGATATGCTATGGTGTATTGTCCGTATTTTATGTAGAGCACCGGATGTACCGGATGTATGCTGCGAGCATGCGCAGTGGCCTGTACTTACATGCGGGAGAATGAAACAGTCGGAACACGTTGAATTGCGTTGTGTTTTCCTCAAAGTTGAATCCGTGCCATCCAGACAGTACAGTCATGAGGAGGAGTGAAGGAGTTAGGTTTAATTTCGCTTTTAACAGTATAACAGTTGTATCACGGCGTGTCAGCTTAATGTGAGAGGAAAGCCCGACGTGATGCAGGTCGGTGAAACCCACGAGCACGGGTATGGTGCTGACAAACCTAGAAACATAATCGGGACGAACCGGGATTCGAAGCCACTATCATAGGTTTCTGGCGTACCCAAGGGACGCAACTCTGCACACCGAATCGCAGCGCCTTAGACGACTGGACCATCCGTGCCCCCGTCATTGGGAGGAGGGTACAGGGTTTTGATAAAGAATATGGCTGCAATTTGTTAAAATTGCGAGTTATAATTCTCCACTGAAGCTATGCACTTGTGCCAAAGCATTGTGGTGCGGTTGTCACTTCACATCCTTATTTTTTTTTGTAGGTGCATCCCCCCCCCCCCCCCCCCCCGCTTCCATCTGAATATCAAATGGCCTGCCCCATGCTCAGTTTCTTAACAGTATGCCTAAAGTCTTTCAGTAGAATCCACTAAGCTAGTCAATTATACAGTTCATTTTTGTCCGTCGTTTAATGAGAGTTAGTAGTGCCATAGATACGTATAGTACAATGTACAGTACAATACAGTACAATAAAGATAAAATACTTCCACTGCTTAATTAGTGGTAATACAAGTTTCCGTAACTGACATTACATCAAACAAAATATGAGATGCTACCGGAACAAGCTTCAAGCTGAGCGGAGTAGCTTTTCGTTTCCTGTGTGGCACCTGACGCCTCCATTCACCCCACGGAAGTTGAGATGTCAGAGCAGACCGTGGTCAAAGCTTCATCCCTGACCATCAAAGCAGCATCACTGCGATGACAAAGTCGCTATCTCTAAACTCGTACATCTTACGACACTTTTATGTCCAGTCGCGTCATTTGAGATCAACGTACTTAGCGATTTCGAACTAGAAACATAACCTCCCATCTGGTCCCATGATGTCAAAGGTGTCTAAAGCCTCTCAGCATCTCCTGACCATTACACAGCTACATAATTATCGCGACGCCTCCCAATGATTGTCTGGAACAGCATATAGTTTCTTGAGTGGTAAACCCTGAAGTCAATTTATTTAAATTTCATAACGTCCTCTTTGTCCATTTAAAATTTTAGTTTGTGCTGGTGGTTGGCAATGGATGTCAATACGTCTCTGAATGTCCGGGGATTCTCGGGGTAGATTAGTAATCATTCTGTATACAGTAACTACGGTTATAACGAACACGCTTTTAACGAACTGACGGATATAACGAACTTACGTTTTTGGTCCCGACTCTTTGCTGTAGTTATGCTGTATATATGCTTTTAACAAACTACGGTTATAACGAACTAAAATTAGTAGTCTCTTTGAGTTCGTTATAACCGTACTTTACTGTACTATGTGTATGTATGTATGAGTCGACCAAAATGGCTGGCCAGGTCACCGGTAGAACAGGTCATGTTTACCCTTTTCGTGAACACATGGACCCACTTGCACAAAGCGATCTTAGCGCTTAGACTTTCGTAAGCCCATGTTAAAGTAGGGGGGTTAAGATCAGCTTAGCGCTAAGATCGCTTTGTGCAAGTGGGCCCTGGTGTCATCACTGATGTTGGCCTAATTTTAAACTGTTTCGGCAGATAATGGAGACTAGTTACTCTCTGGCATCCGTCTTTTTTAATTGTTAACTTGGCTCGCAGCCACTGGTTTGCCGGGTCCAGATTCGATTGTTTACAGGTGAGGTGTGAGGTGAAATGGGGTTTAACGTCGCGTCCAAGATTATTGCACTTTTATAGTGACGTGCATGTACGTGTGTGTGTTTGTGTGACTGCTTGTACTAGTCAGGACTGATGCCGATTTATAGTGCTAGCTCACTGAGATACCATGCCGCAGTTTAACATGTGCCCCACTCAGACACAGTATACTGACTCCAAGCCGACCAGTCCTTGTTTTAGCCCCTTAATGCCGAGCGCCAGACAGGGTAACAACAAGTACCATCTTTTAACGTCTTTTGGTATGACGCGGCCGGGGATCGAACCCTGGATCTGATTGTTTACAGACTGCCGTGATATCACTGGCGTATTGCTGACGTCTACATTCACCATCTGATTAACTCGCGTATTTACATTCCATCATATCTGTTACCTTAAGGCTTCAAACCGAACGGTTGGCCCAATAGTGACATTTCGTTGTTTGGAGTGACTGCATACGTTGGTCGTGGGTTCGAATTCCAAATCCAACCCGGTCGTAATCCTTAGTTTGTAAGTTCCACGTCCGAGATGCTGGTAATACGTATAGATTTTGGTCGCTTCTGGTTCTCCCACAGGGTACGCCCTTGAACAACTGAAGGACTTTCAAAGCGGCGCAATGTTAAGCCCCCTTTACACAGGGCTGCGACCCTTTCGCCACCTTAGAGCGATAAAAAAACTGGCCAGGACGCTCAATGGTCGCCTGAACCCAGAAAATCATGTTTCTATGTAACTGCTCCAGCAGCTGTTCAGCAGTAACTGCTCGAGTTGTTCAGCGTCTGCAATCACAATAAAACACTGCAGGTACAAGCCCTCTATTTATAGGCAGACTGAGGAGGCACTACAGGTAGCTCAAAGGAGGTAGAAAAGAGGAAGAAGCATTGCCATGGTGTCTCAAGCGCTGCCGTGGTCGCCGAATTGAGGCACGGTGGTCGCCACAGTCATCGTTCAATGCACGCTGTTGGTCGCCCAAAGGAGGCACAAGGGAGGCAGAAGCATCGCCCAGATTTACGGGACAATATTGCAGCAGAACGCATCTATTACCTGGCGACCATTGGGCGACCACTGTGCCTTCATTCTGCAACAACGGCAATGCTTGTGCCTCCCTTCTGTCTCCTTTGAGCCACCTTTGAGCAACCAATCTCCTCGGCGACCTTGGTGCGACTGTTTTGAACATGTTCAAAACTTCACGGCAACCATGGCGTCCATTGCGATGTCTGAACCTCCTGTGTACCACCTTGGAACGACCTTGACAACCATTCTGCCTCCTTTGAGCCTCCAACGACGACCTGGCAAATGTTATGGTCGCACACGGGATGCAAAAAGGTCGCTATCCTGTGTAAAGGCCCCCCATTAGCTAACTCACTCACTCGTCACAGGGGCGGTGAGGTAGCCTAGTAGTTAAAGTGGCCCTAGCGGCCCGGTTCTAATCCCCACATCGACACACTGTGTGAAGCCAATTTGTGGTGTCCACTGATACGATTGTGCTGGTATTTAAACCATACTCACTCACCAACCTACTGGACACATCACTCCATGATATAGGGGGCGGTCGGGTAGCCTAATGGTTAAAGCGTTCGCTCGTCACGCCGAAGACCCAGGTTCGATTCCCGACATGGGTACATTGTGTGAAGCCCATTTCTGTCCCCCACCGTGATATTGCTGGAATATTGCTAACAGCGGCGTAAAACCATATTCACTCACTCCCATAATGTAGCTGAAATGCTATTCACATCGACCGTTACGCCAACTAATTATAAGTTAGGAGTGAGGAGAACAGTAGGGTTGAAACTTTTACGATTAATTTGTAAGGTGGTTTGGTCAACCTTAGACATTCTGCCTCAAGTCCCTCACTCTCGCCGATTCGCGTTAAGTTGTTGATTTGCCAGATGTAAGCCTGATATGGCGTGATTACCGGATAGTTACCGGATGTGGTATATACCGGAAGGGTAACCCAACCATTAATATCATAATTGAATTGAACAAAAGATCACGAACTATTGACAATCACCGGGACAGTGTTTTGCTGTCGAGAATGAAATTCAAAGCATTTGTTGTGAGGGACAACAAGCATCTGATGAAGAAGGACGATGCTCGCGGCATGAAGCTCATCTGCAGCTTAGGGCCAGACGTTGCTGCTTTTCTGTGTAACACGAAGACGTTAATTTAGGTAACATTAACAGCCAGGTGGATGAATATCAGACTCACAAAGTGCTTTTGAACGACTTTTAAACAAGTGAGCTGGAGTTGCCAATTGCCCCAAGTTAGTCCTTCAGCCTTAGACGACGGGCCAACGGTGCCTCGGAACAGGAAGGGAAACATATAACTGACATTAATTGGTGTAATAACTATACGACTTTATCTGGGTTATAAAGAAAGTATACGATCAAGTGATATCCATTGTTCTGTGAACACAGATAAGATGACATTTGCGCTGATTTTCTATTATACATCAGTTAGCTCGAGTAGCGTACTTCAAGTTTAGAGACGAAAGGCTATATTGTGAATGTGTTATTGGCGGTTGAGAGAGACGCTTCATCGTGCAATGAACTGGGCTTATTTGTATAGTGATGATCAGGAACTAATTTATGCCAGTCGATTGAACAACATCATGTTGTTTTCAAAATCTCCAAAAAAAGGACATTTTTTAAGTTGTCTCCCTTGGTCTTAGAATCTATCAGTTTCCTTGAGTGACTAACGATATAATTTGGCAGGAATCTTCGAGATAGTATGTATGATATCACTTCAGCATTTTGAATAGATTTATTGATGTTCACGATGACTATTCTAATATATTTTCAAAGATGCTTTGTTTACTTGAGGCCACGATACGATTCCACTATATTATATGCATGTGTTTGTGTATCACTACAGATCGCCTCCGTGGTCTAGTGGTAGAGCGTCCGCCCGGAGAGCGGAAGGTCCGGGGTTCGATCCCCGACCGCGTCATACCAAAAGACGTTAAAAGATGGTACTTGTTGTTACCCTGCCTGGCGCTCGGCATTTGGGGGCTAAAACAAGGACTGGTCGGCTCGGAGTCCGTTACTGTGTCTTAGTGGGTATTCATGTTAAACTGCGGCATGGTATCTCAGTGAGCTAGCACTATAAATCGGCATCAGTCCGGACTAGTACAAGCAGCCACACAAACACACACACGTACATGCACGTCGCTATATAAGTGCAATAATCTTGGACACGACGTTAAACCCCATTTCACCTCACCTCACCTTATGTATCACTACAAAACAGTGATCATACTATGTGTTCGCGATTGCATCTGTTACAAACGCATGCAGAGGCAAGTCAATTGTTCACCTTAAAATAACACGGGAACATATGGTACAAGTAAAAATATGGAATGGCATCAGATACCTTTGTCACAGATGCTTCAAATTTAGAATTGTCCGCCACATGTCTACCTTAAAAACACGTTGAGGACTTGCGTATTGTAACCCTGATCAAACAAAAGTTGAAAACAAAAACCTTGTAAAACATTTGAAAAATATAATTTACATTTTTAAAGTTATCTACGTGTATCAACAACGCCCCATGGCGTCTGGTGACCTACAATACTATATGATATGCTAATTTGGTTCTGCAGCCACGTGATCATTCAGACTTAACAAACCCATGGACGTATTGTTTAGCATCGTATTGTTCCTCTGTTTTGTTATGATATATACCCTGGAGCCTTTTGCCACCATACATTTCTTTGTGACCTCACAACATTCATATCTGTTATCAGCAACTTCGCATTGTATATGTCTCTCGCTCATGGGTATAACTTGTAACGGATCATTTTCGCTTATTTGAAATCCGGGCCAAATGAGGCTGCTGTGGATATTTGCCCCGGGTACTATATCAGAGGAGAATTGAGATTCAATACAATGGGTAATTAAGGATGTTCGTCGGGAACAAATTGGTAGACTAACATTTCGTCTCTGAAATCTTATATTACACAATATCCTTCTTGACTCTAAAAATAAAAATAATTCCCTATGCAGATTGTGGAATAGAGCTAGCTTGAGCTGGCTAGACTTGGTTTTGTATGAATTTCTAGATTATTTTTTTTTCATAAAATAAATATATTCCACGGTCATGGTGCAGGACTAACAAATTGGGTACAGTGTGTAAAGCATCTTCTTTGTCACAGGCCCTGTCACAGGACGCCGCAATTCTCACTGCAATGTTGTGCCGCACGCCGCAATTCTCACTGCAATGTTGTGCCGCACGCCGCAATTCTCACTGCAATGTTGTGCCGCACGCCGCAATTCTCACTGCAATGTTGTGCCGCACGCCGCAATTCTCACTGCAATGTTGTGCCGCGTAGGCGTTCCAGAAACCTGTCTTCGGGTTTGCCTCGGCTTTGCCTCCCACATAACTGACATATTATTCAAAGCGTCGATAAACCCAACTTACTCACTCACTAGCTAACTCAAACTTGGTGTCGCCTGTCGTTATATTGCAAATTATTTCGAAAACCATGCCCACTCCCTCGGACACAGATAGTACTTCGATCAAATATTCCTAGCCAAGTTCAGCTTCCGCACACCAATATCGTATATCTTCCGTAGGAGCGATGAATGGGATATTACTAAGAAATTCACCTCCAAGTCTAGACACAAGCTAACATGATTACTTGAAGCAATTCCCAGCCAAATGAATTGCAGTGGCTCATCCTTCTTGTGTCCCAATCCATTAACATTGCTTCTATGGACACTTACAGTTGTTTAATGTGTGGTAGGTACCCTTTGGACAAAATTTGACGTCGTTTGGCCTCCACGAAAAGACAGGCAGTTTCCAAAACTATGAAAGGACCAAGATAAATATGCCCTTTGCTATGTCCATTCTTTCATCTATCAGTGCTAATTACCCCGGCCTCCCTTTTGCCCAGTGTCTTACTTACTTACTTACTTACTTACTTACTTACTTTGGATACGATGACATGTATCAACTAAGTCGGCGAGCCTGACCACCGATCCCGTTAGTCGCCTCTTACGACAAGCATAGTCGCCTTTTACGGCAAGTATGGGTTGCTGAAGACCTATTCTACCCCGGATCTTCACGGGTCCTACATTATTATGATTGTCACGTCACCAATGCACGTTACACACATATGGCAATGTTGTGTTAGTGCTTGTATTATTGCGTACATTCACACTGGACTTTCCTTGCTCCGAAAGGATCCTCCATATTATTTAATAGTGTATACCTTTTAGGGAATGCAAAAAACTTTTAAATCCATATGTCAACATCTTCATGAACGTCTGTGTCAGTTTTGGGACCGTCGTCTTCGTGTAACGACACATGTGCGACTGTTTGTTTCAGCATTGGGAGTGCCGTATTCTTGATTAGGTTTTCATGTGCGACTGTCTGTTTTAGCATTGGGAGTGCCGTATTCTTGATATAAACTTCATGTACGTCTGTTACAGCATTGAGTCTTCTTGATGCGATCTTCATGTGCGACTGTCTGTTTTATCAGTAGGAGTGCCGTCATCTTGAAGCGATCTTCATATATTTCTGTTTATCATTTAACTTAAGCATTTATCCATGACATAAGCTTATGACATAAAAACATGTATGTCATACCCCAATGACATAAGTATGCAAATTAGATAAAAATTATGCAAATTAGATAACCGGAAGAGCGAGCGGTTTGATTTGAAACTATATATTATAAGTGAAGTTACACCAGAGATATAATCAGATTACACAGAATCGTTGTTGTTACCGTTATTGTTACCGTTATTAAAGTTTCAATTATTCTGCAAAAGTCTGTTCAAGTATTTTGTTTAAAATAATCCGAGGAACTTTTTTTCTCAGCGAATTGTTTATTTTGGTTTACATGGCTATGGAAAACATGTATCACTACGCACGATCTATACGTAAGATTTCGACAAGTTGCAGATGTTAATGTTTAATGCAATTATTCCTTAATTTGGAAGCAAAAATGTGAAAATGATAAATAGAATTCATCACTCGTGTTTTTTAATATGGGAAATATCAACCTCGTCCCGTTAATCGGTATTTGCCTCGCCAAAGGCTCGGCAAATACCGATTAACTAAGACTCGGTTGATATTTCCCATATTAAAAAACACTCGTGATGAATCCTCTATTTAAGCACTGAGAGTGTCGTCTTCTTGTTACGATCTTTAATTACATCTGATTCAGCACTGAGAGTGTCGTCTTCTTGTTACGATCTTTAATTACATCTGTTTCAGCATTTGGAGTGCCGTCTTCTTGTCACGATCTTTATGTACGTCTGTTTCAGCTTTGGAGGAGCAGGCTGCTCGTCACGATCTTCATGTACGTCTGTTTGCCGTCTTCTTGTCACGATCTTCATTTACATCTGTTTCGGCATTGGGAGTGCCGTCTTCTTGTCACGATCTTCGTATACGTCTGTTTCAGCATTGGGAGTGTCGCCTTCTTGTCACGATCTTCATGTACGTCTGTTTCAGCATTGGGAGTGCCGTCTTCTTGTCACGATCTTCATGTACGTCTGTTTCAGCATTGGGAGTGCCGTCTTCTTGTCACGATCTTCATGTACGTCTGTTTCAGCATTGGGGGTGCCGTCCTCTTGTCACGATCTTCATGTACGTCTGTTTCAGCATTGGGAGTGCCGTCTTCTTGTCACGATCTTCATGTACGTCTGTTTCAGCTTTGGGAGTCCGTATTCTTGCTACGATCTTCATGTACGACTCTTTCAGCATTGGGAGTGCCGTCCGCTTGTCACGATCTTCCTGTACGTCTGTTTCAGCATTGGGAGTGCCGTCCTCTTGTTACGATCTTCATGTACGTCTGTTTCAGCATTGGGAGTGTCGTCTTCTTGTTACGATCTTCCTGTACCTCTGTTTCAGCATTGGGAGTCCGTATTCTTGTTACGATCTTCCTGTACGTCTGTTTCAGCATTGGGAGTGTCGTCTTCTTGTTACGATCTTCCTGTACCTCTGTTTCAGCATTGGGAGTCCGTATTCTTGTTACGATCTTCCTGTACGTCTGTTTCAGCATTGGGAGTGCCGTCCTCTTGTTACGATCTTCATGTACGTCTGTTTCAGCATTGGGAGTGTCGTCTTCTTGTTACGATCTTCCTGTACCTCTGTTTCAGCATTGGGAGTCCGTATTCTTGTTACGATCTTCCTGTACGTCTGTTTCAGCATTGGGAGTGCCGTCCTCTTGTCACGATCTTCCTGTACGTCTGTTTCAGCATTGGGAGTGCCGTCCTCTTGTTACGATCTTCATGTACGTCTGTTTCAGCATTGGGAGTGTCGTCTTCTTGTTACGATCTTCCTGTACGTCTGTTTCAGCATTGGGAGTGCAGGCTGCTCGTCACGATCTTCATGTATTCCATCTGCGTGAGTCAGTTGTGGATCTTCATGGAGGGGTTGTACCTCCACAACCTCATCTACAGGACCCTGTCCACGGAGAGGAGGGGGGTCAAGCCCTATATATTCCTCGGGTGGCGTGAGTATCATAACGTAACTGTGTATGTTACAGACAACGTGCGCATTCCAGTATAACAGCTGTTGCAACGCAAAAGTCACAGTTATGTTACACGGTAGAAACCAGCGACATTACAGCAATAGTACAGTGTTGTTCTCTGTAATAAAACAAGCAATGCTGCAAGCAATATTACATCTGTGTCACAGCGCAGTAGTCAGCAATATTACATCTGTGTTACAACGCAGTAGTCAGCAATATAACAGACGTCACAGCGCAGTAGTCAGCAATATTATACCCGTGCCACAACGCAGTAGTCAGCAATCTTACACCTGTGTCACAACGCAGTTGTCAGCAGCATTACACCTGTGTCACAACGCAGTTGTCAGCAACATTACACCTGTCTCACAACGCAGTAGTCAGCAATCTTACACCTGTGTCACAACGCAGTAGTCAGCAATATTACACCTGTGTCACAACGCAGTAGTCAGCAATATTACACCTGTGTCACAACGCAGTTGTCAGCAGCATTACACCTGTGTCACAACGCAGTTGTCAGCAACATAACACCTGTGTCACAACGCAGTAGTCAGCAACATTACACCTGTCTCACAACGCAGTAGTCAGCAATCTTACACCTGTGTCACAACGCAGTAGTCAGCAATATTACACCTGTGTCACAACGCAGTAGTCAGCAACATTACACCTGTGTCACAACGCAGTAGTCAGCAACATTACACCTGTGTCACAACGCAGTAGTCAGCAATATTACACCTGTCTCACAACGCAGTAGTCAGCAACATTACACCTGTGTCACAACGCAGTAGTCAGCACCATTACACCTGTGTCACAACGCAGTAGTCAGCAATATTACAGACATGTCACAACGCAGTAGTCAGCAATCTTACACCTGTGTCACAACGCAGTAGTCAGCAATATTACACCTGTGTCACAACGCAGTTGTCAGCAGCATTACACCTGTGTCACAACGCAGTTGTCAGCAACATAACACCTGTGTCACAACGCAGTAGTCAGCAACATTACACCTGTCTCACAACGCAGTAGTCAGCAATCTTACACCTGTGTCACAACGCAGTAGTCAGCAATATTACACCTGTGTCACAACGCAGTAGTCAGCAATATTACACCTGTTTCACAACGCAGTAGTCAACAGTCGTACACCTGTCACAACGCAGTAGTCAGCAATATTACACCTGTGTCACAACGCAGTAGTCAGCAATATTACAGACATGTCACAACGCAGTAGTCAGCAATATTACACCTGTCTCACAACGCAGTAGTCAGCAATATTACGGCAATGTTACAACGCGGTAGTCAGCAGAATGTGAACCAGTCTGTATTCGTGCAGGAGCTACTATGATAAATCAACCACAGAGTACATCACTGCTTTAATTAATCACAAAGATTTTATTCTAATCTGACCAGGCAGATTCAAGAGTTACAGTAGTATAAATTACTGGTTTGTCTCCAACGATATTGTGAGTTACAGAATAACTTAAACTTTTCAACAAACATTCTAAAAAAGCCACGAAGCCTATTAATCATTGTCATCCAGCATCGCAATGCATGGTGCAGGTCAACAACAAGTTGGCGTGCTGACAGGGCACCTGCACGACGCACCTGATACACCTACTTCAGTTGTATTTAACAGATAGCGTTTGAAACGTACACGTTGTCACAGTCCATGGTCGTAGTGTCTCGGTGGTGTTGGCATCAGGCATCGCGTGCGCTGGGCGAGGCGGTCATCTGTCTCCGTCAAGCAAGGATCCTGGTAGACTTGAGGCCGGTTGTGGTCTAGAGTACACCTATTTCAAGTGCCCTTGTCGCAGAAGGACTTCTTTCTAAAATTGGTATTGAAGGTTGGCAGAAACATGCAATATCTATGGTTTACCCGAGCTAATGTGACATAAACACTAAGGACATTTTATTATTTGCTGACAAAGGTCTGATAATACTCAGTACAATGAATAATGTAACCATTATCTGTTGTACCAGGGTGTTCTCGGGTTAAACATTAAACCCTTCCAATGAACCTATGGCCTTCACCATGCATTTTAATTTGGTAAATTATCACTGTTTGCCTTACGCGACTCGGATCATGTGTTCGTATCTCAGAATCGCCCTGATCGTGAACCTTGGTTTGTCGGCTCCAAAGTAGCAAACCCCGAGGAGTCCGTCAGGAATGTTGACTTCCGGTGGTGACCGGAATAAGGTTCAAAACGGCGTTAAACCCAACTCACTCACTTTTGTCCTCCCGGTAAAGATACGTCCAAGCTGCTTGGGTCTGATGGTTGAGTGGAAAGTACTTGACATTTGTTGGTGCAGCTACGGGGCTTTCTCCTCTTGGTGCAACGACGACCCTTTCTCCTCTTGGTGCAACGACGATCCTTTCTCCACTTGGTGCAACGATGATTCTTTCTCCACTTGGTGCAACGACGATCCTTTCTCCACTTGGTGCAACGACTATCCTTTCTCCACTTCATGCAACGATCCTTTCTGCACTTGGTGCAGCAACGATCCTTTCTCCACTTGGTGCATCGACGATCCTTTCTCCACTTGGTGCAACGACGATCCTTTCTCCACTTGGTGCAACGACGATCCTTTCTCCACTTCATGCAACGATCCTTTCTCCACTTGGTGCAACGACGATCCTTTCACCACTTGGTGAAAAGACGATCCTTTTTCCACTAGGTACAACGATGACCCTTTCTCCACTTGATGCAACGATTATCCTTTCTCCACTTGATGCAACGACGATCCTTTCTCCACTTTGTGCAACGACGATCCTTTTTCCACTTGGTACAACGATGACACTTCTCCACTTGATGCAACGATTATCCTTTCTCCACTTGATTCAACAACGATCCTTTCTCCACTTGATGCAACGACGATCCTTTCTCCACTTGATGCAACGACGATCCTTTCTCCACTTCATGCAACGACGATCCTTTCTCCCCTTCATGAAACGGCGATCCTTCTTCACTTGGTGCAACGACGATCCTTTCTCCACTTCATGCAACTACTGGACCAGACTCCAATGATAATGGGTTCAAATCCCTGACAATGATTCTTAGTTTGTCAGCACCACACCCTTATCCGTTGGTTTCACCAAAGAGGTAAACGTCTTCGGCTGCATGTCTGTCTTTAACATTAGGCTGAAACGCTACAATGTAACTGAATGCTGAACAACGCACTTTAAACCAAACTCATTTACTCAGATGTGTTTTCCAAAGGTTTACGAAACAAGGAGCGTTACATCTGTAACATATGTAGTACAGTACCACGATCTATTAGTAAGAAAGGAAATAATAATTGATATGTTTAGCTTTGGATAACAAACGAAGTTTAAGTTTGAATTTATGCCATAATATAATTGCGTACAGGTCAAATTAGCGGAGGCAAAATGAGTGGATCGCTGAAAATTAGTGATGACACCAGGTGCACAATTTGCATGCACGCACGCACGCACGCACACACACACACACACACGCACGCACGCACGAGAGGGGGAGAGAGAGTCTCATGGCAGCCTTTTGAATAGGCCAGGGATTTGCGGGTTCAAGATACATGTTCCGGATTTTTGTCGGATATTTCAAATATTGACCTTGATTTGACCTTTGCGCTGATTACAAGACCAACCATTCAATTGTATCACAAAAACAAAGTGTGTCTTTCGCGGTTTCAGTACGTTTGTTGCAAATTATGAATTATAACATCGTCCTATGAACACGATATAGAATCAGCAGATAATGAATAGTAAAGACAGCAAATGAATAGTAAAGAGATGTAAGACAACCAGAGTATATAAACTCTCTGAAGAAGTAAATATAAGGGAAAATATCAAGACGATTTTCAGGCATGCCTTACAGTTTGTCTTTGTGAAAATGATGATGTTCAGTTTGTGAGTTCATTTTTCTTTCAGTCTTGCCTTTCACATTCCTTATACCCTGGGTCATCGTCCGGTATACGCTGGACAACCATCAGTAAGTACACGTTAATACGGCCAACCCTCTTAGTCCAAACCTCGGTTGTCCGGACACCGCTCTTTCCGGACGTTTGATTTTAGGACTCTCTCTAAATATATACAAGGGGCATCGTTTCGTTTTTTCTAGATATGTTTTAATCTGGATAATGGTTTTAGAGAAAGGTAACGACATAATTAACGTGATACATAAATATGTACATGAATTGAACGGAAAATAAATGAATTGAACAGAAGAGAGATGAATTCAACATCAATAAATATTCATTTTTCTCAAACTAGCGAAAGGTTCAAAATGCCAAAGAAATGAATAAATAAACGAACAAAGGAAATATACTGAAAATCATTAAAATAGTGCTCCCATGAAAATATTGCGAAGACTGCGAGTGACCTTTGCTCGCATAAACAAAGGCGAAAACTTCCTATATATTTTAATGTTTTATTTGTTTATGCACAAAATAATGCAAGGTATGGATGTAATAGGTAATGTTTACACATATATTAGTATGGTAATATAGGCTATTACTCCAGTCTGTAAGTCCAATAGGGGATTTCTTCGTGTAAAAATATCGAACTGATTATGAAGGTGCTTGTAGTTCGCTATAACCGAGTTTACTGTTTACTGAGTGGCTTCTGTTGTTGTTCTGCAGCTGTTGGACGTATAGTAAAAGGAAAGAATTGTTCTGGGTGATTCACGGTCCTCTGCTGGCTACAGTCGTGGTAAGTACGAGTACGAGTGGAGTGAGTTGGTTTTACGCCCCCTTGTTGCAATATTCCAGCAATATCACGGCGAGCGATACTAGATAAGGGTGGCGAGCAAAAGCTGTAACTGCAGGGCTACTCCTTCGTGCTAAGTGAGTGTGAGTGAGTTGAGTTTTACGCCGCTTTCATCAGTGTTTCATTATTATCACGGCTTGATCATTTGAGGATGCTTGCCGTAAAAGGCGACTGTGCTTGTCGTAAGAGGCGACTAACGGGATCGGGTGGTCAGGCTCGCTGACTTGGTTGATGCATGTCATCGTATCCCAATTGCGTGTATCGATGCTCATGATGTCAATCACTGGATTGTCTGGTCCAGACTCGATTATTTACAGACCGCCGACATATAGCTGGAATATTGCTGAGTGCGGCGTTAAACAACAAACAAACTCTCTTAAACATGCATTGTTGCCACGTTCATTCGTGACCTGTTTTTGTAACCTGTTAAACAGAAACACATTGCCTGACAAGGCTACTTAATTACCTGCCTTGATTAATTGCCTGTCATTATTAATTACCTGGCTTGTATAATTGGCTTTATTGTTGGACAAAATACACTCTCAGTTTTTTTCTGAGAAAAGAATTGTACAAAACGGTAGAAAAGGTATATCAATTTATGTACTCATTTTACCATCAGCTGAGGGGCGGTGGGGTAGCCTAGTGGTTAAAGCGTTCGCTCGTCACGCCGAAGACCCGGGTTCGATTCCTGACATGGGTAAAATGTGTGAAGTCCATTTCTGGTGTCCCCCGCCGTGATATTGCTGGACTATTGCTAAAAGCGGCGTAAAACCATACTCACTCACTCACTCTTGTGGTCCTCCACATGATATGGGTGGCACAGTGCTAACACCGACATAACGTTAGCTCTCACTCTCAGCTGATGGTTGTCCAACGATGTGTTAATCTTCGCTAACAATCCATGTCGTAAAAAAGCTAATAAAGTTCGCCCATGCCATATGAAAAAATATATACCAAAAGACGTTAATATATGATACTTGTTGTTATTATGCCTGGCACTCTACACTAATGGGATAATGGGAGTGTCGGCTCATCATAAGGGAGTGAGTGAGTGAGTGAGTTGGGTTTAACGTCGTCTTTAACAGTATTCCAGTTTTATCACGGCGTGTCAGCTTAATGTGGGAGGAAAGCCCGAAGTGATGCAGGTCTCAGACGTTTACCAATTCGGTGAAACCCACGAGCACGGGTATGATGCTGACAACCCTAGAAACATAATCGGGGCGAACCGGGATTCGAACCCACAATCATAGGTTTCTGGCGTGCCCAAGGGACGCAAGTCTGCAGGCGAATCGCGGCACCTTAGACGACTGGGCCACCCGTGCCCCCTGAGTATGCTGTGACTGAGAGGGGAATCCACCTTAAACTGCAGCATGGTATCTCAGTTGGCCATCACTAAAAAACGGTATTAGTTCGGCCTAGTACAAGCAACCATTGCAACGTTAAACCGATTTCACGTCACCTATTAATAATCAACAGAAATCAATTTTCACGAGATGTTTTACATTGATTCCATGCTTGAAAGAGTGAGTGAGTGAGTTTGGTTTTAAGTCGTTTGAATAGCACCTGCAATATTTAACCGACAAAGTGACTTGAGTGAGTGAGTGAGTGTGGTCATACTCTTGTAATAAGATTCCCGCAATATCACGGCGGGGGAAACCAAAAACTGAAACATTGTACCCATGTGGGGAATCGAACCCAGGCCTCTGGCGTGACGATGGAACGCTTTGACCACCAGGCTTCTCCACCGCCCCGCACGAGTGGCCCAGTCGTCTAAGGCGCCGCGATTCGCTTTGCAGAGTTGCGTCCCTTGGGCACGCCAGAAACCTATGATTGTGGATTCGAATCCCGTTCGCCCCGATTATGTTTCTAGGTTTATCAGAACCCTACCCGTGCTCGTGGGTTTCATCGAAGTGGTTAACGTCTGAGACCTGCATCACTTCGGGCTTTCCTCCCACATTAAGCTGACACGCCGCGATATAACTGGAATAATGTTAAAAGCAGCGTTAAACCCAACTCACTCACTCCACCGCCCCGACAACCTTGAAACCGCCATGGCGGACCGGCACATGTGATTCCTCCTAGCTATATCACCTGACAGTACATACTCTTTTTCTGTTGTAGATAAACTTCATATTCTTTATGGATATTTTACGAGTACTGTGCACAAGGGTCCGTGCATCAGCACGACACATGGGACGCACCAAATACAGGTGAGAAGCGCACTTTACAATCTAGTTTATGTGGGTTCATCTTTCCTTGACATAAAGAAACATTAAACATATCTCTTGATTCTAGTCCACAATCAACCCTAAACTCCCGTCCGACCCTAAAGTTATTTTTTTATCTTGTTTGCATGCAAAATCTGATTCCGTTTCCGCATTTACAATTAATGTTCATTCCGAAATTGCATTTTTGATGTAACCCATCCTGATGACAAGCGATGCTTTTTCGGGATTTTGCAAATGCTGGAATGTTGTGTCGCCTCAGAGGGTGTTTTGTACCATTGGTAATTTAGGTTGGTTGGTTGAAAATCGGAATAAAAAGCAAAATTATTATTTTACCTAAATACTTTTTTTCTGTGTTTTTTTAATGTCGAGAAACAATATGTTTTAGGTAAATATGCATTTCGAGTTAACCATAGCTCGAGACAAGCATGTATATAGTGAGTGAGTGAGTGAGTTGGGTTTATCGCCGTGATGCAGGTCTCAGACGTTTACCACTTCGGTGAAACCCATGAGTACGGGTATAATGCTGACAAACCTAGAAACATAATCGGGGCGAACCGGGATTCGAAGCCACAATCATAGGTTTCTGGCGTGCCCAAGGGACGCAACTCTGCAAAGCGAATCGCGGCGCCTAAGACGACTGAGCCACCCATGCCCCCTATATATTGTTATAAGATGAATGTGTAAGGTACTTGTGACTACAACACATACAAACCCTCAACACGTTAATCCTTTATGCAGTTTCAATGAGGAACATTTGGGGCTGCTACCTAGTGTTTCATGGTGATTTTATAATCTAAGAATGGATAGGCAAGGGAGATGGAGCTGACTCTGTACCTGACTTCTTTGAAGTATTGACTTATTTTGCCGTCACGTTTCCTTGATAGACTACAGATTTAGTGTCCGATAAGACATAGCTCCACAACTAACGTGCTTTAATGGATGCCTAGTATGAATGTGATGCAAGTCTCGGAAGGTCACATTACCATCTCGTCCTACTGGGTACCCATTCACTGCAGAGTGAACATGGCATGTATCGAAAAATGTCACCTGCCTTAGGAAACGTATTTTGGGGCAAAGAAACTAGAAACTCTCAGTCAAGCTTGAGTACTCTCCAAGAGTCAAGCTGCGGTCACCCATCCTCCTACTCTCCGCCACCAGCTTTGCTTCGTTTTGCGTGGTTTTTAACCTGTGTGTTGTACACATGGCCATGTCCCACCACAGTCTTATGTGTTCGCTCTATCGATCACTTCATTCGTGACCAACTCGTGTTATTCCGAGACAAGCCGAATAGCGACTCGTGCCAATCTCGTGACCATTTTGCGGCCGGGTTCCGTCTAACCGTCTAAGCGCAAACGGGCATAGCTCAAAGAACTGTCAACTCCTCATATATATTCCAGATGCATTTCGAGACTTACGGTATTATACAGTATGATTGAGTGAGTGAGTGACTGAGCGAGTTTGGTTTTACGCCGCTTTTAGCAATATTCCAGCAATATCACGGCGGGGACACCAGAAATTGACTTCATACATTGTACCCATGTCGGGAATCGAACCCGGGTCTTCGGCGTTACGAGCGAACGCTTTATCCACAAGGCTACCCGACCGCCCCTTACAGTAGATTGAACACATTAAACTGTATCTTGGGTTTATTTTTAGATGCAAGACGAAAGATATGTAAAATCAAAATTTATTCCTCAGAGATTCTTCGACCGAAGCAAACGTGCATACGTGCAAAGGGGGCACGGGTGGCCCAGTCGTCTAAGGCGCCGCGATTCGCTGTGCAGAGTTGCGTCCCTTGGGCACGCCAGAAATCTATGATTGTGGGTTCGAATCCCGGTTCGCCCCGATTATGTTTCTAGGTTTGTCAGCACCATACCCGTGCTCGTGGGCTTCACCGAAGTGGTAAACGTCTGAGACCTGCATCACTTCGGGCTTTCCTCCCACATTAAGCTGACACGCCGTGAAATAACTGGAATATTGTTAAAAGCGGCGTTAAAAACCCAACTCACTCACTCATACGTGCAAATGTTATCATATTGTTTCTGATTCTATTCCAGGCGACTGGCCAAGTTTGTGCTGGTTCTAATTCCCTTATTTGGAGTTCTGTACATCGCGTTTCACGTGGCTTTTCCCGCCAGATTCAAAAGTGAAGTCGGGCTGACCCATCTCTACATAGAGATGACGTATAATTCTCTTCAGGTAGGTGGAGATTGTTTCTTTAATTCATAAAGCAAATTATTCCATGGTAGCCGATGGTAAAGCGACAACCCGAAAACAGGGACAGGGTGTGTGTGAGATAGCTAGCGGGTAGGCTAGTAAACTGCCGGGCAAAAGAAAGTGTCGTTTGTTTGTTTTGTTTTGTTTTTAACGCCGCACTCAGCAATATTCCAGCTATATGACGGCGATCTGTGAATAATCGAGTCTGGACCAATGATTGACATCATGAGCATCGATCCACGCAATTGGGATAGGATGACATGCATCCACCAAGTCAGCGAGCCTGACCACCCGATCCCGTTAGTCGCCTTTTACGACAAGCATAGTCGCCTCTGATGGCAAGCATGGGTTGCTGAAGACTTTATTCTACCCCGGATCTTCACGGGTCGGCTAAAAATGAAACAAACAAGAATGGTAATTCAAACGTCGTGTTTTTTATCCGGTTATCATGCAAAGTTGTGTTTTGGCTCTAAAGTTTGAATATTTCGGCGACTGTTTTCAGTCTTGTAACGATTGATAACTTTTGTAATGTTTTAGTCAAAGCTTATTTTCAAGTGCAAACTTTCTTTTGCCCTGCAGTTTCTTGAAAACGTTGTCGTCAAGCCGAAGACTATTGCCCCTTCTTATTGCTGGAATTTTCCGAAGAGGGTCGGAAACTCAATCCATTATCTTATACCCTGGGAATTCCTCATCTTATAAGCAATTAAGAATGTGAATATTTTCTGTCATGAAGTTGATTAGAGTTACTTGTCCCAGTCCGCAATGTCGGCCAGTGCACCCATTGTTTCATCAGAGGGGCGCGCAAGGAGTGCCCAACAATAGCCGATGTTGTAAATGTTTGACAATGTAGAGCCTTTGTTTCAAATGTTTGACAATGTACACGTGACCAAACAGCTAAGAATAAGAAACAACATTATTCTGCAAGTGTCTTGGACGATTTAAGTTGAAAGGACAGGAATCAATATTTATTATTTATATTCTACTATGTTTGCTTCTTTGTTGTAAAACGCCGCACTCTGCAATGTTCCAGCTATATGACGGCGGTCCGTAAATAATCGAGTCTGGACCAGACAATCCGGTGACTGACATCATGAGCATCGATCCACACGATTGGGATACGATGACTTGTTGGTTGCTTGGTTTGTTGTTTAACGCTGCACTATTCCAGCTATATGACGGCGGTCTGTAAATAATCGAGGCTGGACCAGACAATCCAGTGATTGACATCGTGAGCATCAATCAACACAATTGGGATACGATGACATGCATCAATCAAGTCAGCGAGCCTGACCACCCGATCCCGTTAGTTGGCTCTTACGCCAAGCATAGTTGCCTTTTACGGCAAGCATAGTCGCCTTTTACGACAAGCATAGTCGCCTTTTACGACAAGCATAGTCGCCTTTTACGGCAAGCATGGGTTGCTGAAGACCTATTCTACCCCAGATCTCCACGGATCTGCTTTACTGTGAACATTTCATTCCACTGAGGTGTAAACTACACGAACTGATGTCTTTACTAACAATTTAGAAACTATAATAACAGTCATTTATAAGATAATATGATTGTAACTTCAAGTGTTTATTAACTTCAGATATTCGTTCTGTTTTAGGGATTTATTCTGGCGCTGTTGTTCTGCTTTTTAAATGAGGAGGTAAGAAATACATACATACCCTGTATCCTTCGCAGTGTGTTTGTTTGTTTTGTTTGTTTGTTTGTTTGTTTGTTTGTTTGTTTGTTTAACGCCGCACTCGGCAATATTCCAGCTAAATGGGGCGGTCTCTAAATAATCGAATCTGATTGATATCATGGTCATCGATCTACGCAGTTGGGATACGATGACATGCATCAACCAAGTCTGCGAGCCTGATCACCCGATCCCGTTAGTCGCCTCTTACGACAGGCACAGTCGCCTTTTAGGGCAAGCATGGGTTGCTGAAGACCTATTCTACCCCGGATCTTCACGCGTTCCCTGCAGTGTGAAGTTGCTATCAAGCAGAATGTGCCCAAAACAACCCAAATCGTTGTTAGGATAAATATTGATCAAACATGATTAATTAATGTGTTATCCATTTCGCAAAGCTGAATTTCTTGTTTAAATTTGGGATTGAGAATAAATATCACACTTATCGAGAAAGGGCCGAATGATTTCCAGACTCAGTTCCAGTTGATAACGTTTTTCAACCATTCAGATTGCGGATTTTTCAACGCCGTCATTAACACTTGCATCCATTTGCTTGTTCAGTTTAATTAACAGAAAGTTGTTGTTGTTTTTTTCCAATTTGTGTTAATCAAAAATACAGAATGAATAATCTATTGTTGAGCTTAATTTTTTTCTAATTATTGTTGATGTAATTACATGAATAAAACATATACTTTGTCCGTACGCCGAGTTAAGAACATTTGCGGGAAATATTAATACATGTATAGATACTGTGCGCGTATTTCGATGCCTGCATGAAACCTGTAGATGGGATGAGTGAATGGGGTTTAACGTCGCGTCCAAGATTAATGAACTTATTATATAGCGACGCGAATGCACGTGTGTGTGTGTGGCTGCTTGTACTAGTCCGGACTGATGCCGATTTATAGTGCTAGCTCACTGAGATACCATGTCGCAGTTTAACATGTATACCCCACTCAAACACAATATACTGACTCCGAGCCCACTAGTCCTTCTTTTAGCCCCTTAATGCCGAGCACCAGACAGGGTAACAACAAGTACCATATTTAACGTCTTTTGGTATGACTGTCGGGGATCGAAGCCCGGATCTTCCGCTCTCCGGGCGAACGCTCTACCACTAGACCAGGGAGGCGGTCCAAACGCGTAGACACGAGAAGACATACTTGTTCTAAGTAATCTAATAAGCAATATATGTGTTTAGTATGCCTCTAAGTGAGATTGACCAATCAGAGAGCAGAACTACTGACTCCACATGAGCCCGTATACCGTCAGTAACAGCCATCTTGGATTTTCCAACACCCACCTCACATATTTCACATGAAAATTCTTGTACCGAAATTCGTTATTTGACACTGTTTTGTGTTTTACTATCATTAATTGTCATGTGCAAGGACAGTAATCTGTTTTTCAGATCACGTTCGTTACTTTTTTGACAAAGATTATAGTTAAAATTGTCAACAAGGTTTGGCCGCTAAGGTTTGGAGAGTAGTCTCCCTTTGACCCTTAAGGTCAACGTTCGGTTGTAAGTGTCACGTTTGTATTTTGACAAGACACGTGCCATATAGATACCAGAGAGTGAAAACTTTTCGGCATAATAAATTCGTTATGGTGTCTTCAGTTGCCGTATACAGTGTCATATTAGGTTAGCAGGAAAATATTGGGCGATGCTAACCTAATATGACGACGTTGACGGCAACTAAAGACACCATAAATAATAGTGTTTCTTTTCAGGTCCACGCAGAGATAAAGCGCATGTGGTACAGAAGGAAGAGCCGACGGGGAGACAGTGTGGCCTTGACGAAGTCATTCGTAGTGTCTTCCTTCAAAAGGGCTTCCTATATAAACAGAGGACAAGTTCGAAAAAACGGCACAATAGTGCCGACGGAGGTTCCCAAAAATGACGATATTTTAACCAAATTACGCACTAGAGCTTTACGAATATTCAGAAAGCAGGAAAGCACAGACGAAGGGGAGATAAACGAACTCCAGTCTGTTGGAGAGAGTAAAGTAGCCAAAGACAAGAACGACAACCGTGCTGAATCTTCCGCTTGTGCAGATTCTTCCGATCGAGTGTCGTGAATTCAATCGGAGCAGATCGTTTTTCAAAAACATTTTACAATGCAATGCGGGATTCCGATTGTCAGATGTTGAATGACGGACCAGTGAACTGTGCACAAAATTGAGTGTGGTCGTGAGTTGTTCATAACAATATGCTTAAACGTGATGATTTGTTCATTGCTTAGGGATATATATCATGTGGACATTTTGTTCGATTCTGAATAAAAGCCGGATGTTGGATCATCCAGGTGATCCACGGGGCATTTATCTCTGTCAGAGTGGATCTGACGTTGCAAGGATGCCTATTTTTCATCACCAACACGTTAATTTGTATTGACAGAAGCAAGGCCAAACCCTCGTTAACTCATATTGTGTCGCTAGAGAATCAATATGCTCAGTGGCCTAGGATTTTTATTTCAGAGAACATTTCTAAACACATTATCCCTGAAGAGAGAACCTAAACATCCACCATGTCCAGTAAACGATGTGTTTGTTGTATAACCCCGGAGGAAAAACTGATGTCCATTGATCCCCAGCATTCAAAATTATTTTAAGGCAGTCAGCGCACGCGCACACACACACACACACACACACACACACACACACACACACACAATAACCCCACCCCCCACCTCTCTGCGACAACAGAACAGCATATTTACCTCGACAAGGTGTGAGTGTTGGTATAATGGAGTTTAACGTTGCTTTCAAAACTATAGGCTGGTCGGGTAGCCTAGTGGTTAAAGCGTTCCCTCGTCACGCCGAAGACCCGGGTTCGATTCCCGACATGGGTACAATTCACTCACTCACTTCAAAACTACAACGCTTATGCCTCAGTCATAGGGAAAGATTAGTTTACGATGTTCGATGCCCGGCGACCGTTGTATATGTCACTGAGTCATTATATAGCGACGTGTGTGTTTGTATATGTGTGTGTTCGTGTGCGTGCATGCGGGGTGTGTGTGTGTGTGTGTGTGTGTGTGTGTGTGTGTGTGTGTGTGTGTGTGTGTGTGTGTGTGTGTGTGTGTGTGTGCGGATGCTTGTACTAGACCGAACTAATGCCGGTTTTATAGTGGTAGTCCACTTGGATACCATGCCACAGTTTTTTTAACATGGATACCCCACTCAGATACTCAGTATACTGACTTCCAGCCGACCAGTACTAGTGGTAGCCCCTTAATTCCGAGCGTCAGACAGGGTAACAACAAGTACCACAGTTTAACGTATGTTTGGCATGACCCGGCCGGGACCTCGACAAGATGTAACGAGAACAGGACAATATTGGTTGTCCGTCTGGAAATATAGTCTTAATATTTTTTCATTTCTTAATAGATGCTGATACATGACAGGGACGCTGGGACAGTTTTCATTTCACTCGGATTGTGTGCGTAAGATAAAATTTCTTTGAAATCGTTTCTAATTATATTGTGGGAAAATTATCGGATGGAGGTTCACGAAGTAATACGAGATGGCGATGGCAGGATAGGGTCATTGCGAATGATTAATGTTCTGTTATATATCAGTGCCCGTGTCCTCTGTTACGTACTGGCAACGTTTCGCGACGTTGATAACGGAACGATATGCGAAGGTATATTGTTCTCTTTCAGTGTTTGAAACACAGACACCGCGCTCGACACTGATTTGGCTTTTAAAAGTTCAACCTTCGTGATCACTCACGTAATTCTGTGACAAGCCATTTTGTTACCGGAAAGAAACGAACGGAAATAATTGCAGTTCAATATTACAGCACTTTATGCTCGCTGGGCGATCGGGTTTTCATTGTCTTTTTCCGTAGCATTTCTAAGACTTGATCAATATTAACACGGTTACTATGACAGTCACGAACAAACGGTTAGAATATGGATATTAATGGTTCATCAGTTACATATTTACCGGCCAGAAAAAGTCAAAGTACATGCGTATGAGGTGGTAATTTCAATTTGCGAGAAATACGTGATCGAGTAGAGATTTAACATGGCTATGAACCATACATCACAGCGTGTCGTCTACCACGCAGATGGGCATGGTGCTGTAAGATCAAGAATTATGTAAAAGGCGTATTCGGGATTCGAATCCTCCAGGAGAGGATTCTGGATACAGCGTGATCTAAATCTGCAAGAGGTGAGGTGAGATGGGGTGAGGTGAGGTGAAGTGAGGTGAAATGGGGGTTTACGTCGCGTCCAAGATTATTGCACTAAAATAGCATAGCGACGTGCATGTGTGTGTGTGTGTGTGTGTGTGTGTGTGTGTGTGTGTACTAGTCCGGACTGATGCCGATTTACAGTGCTAGCCTACACCATGACGCACATTGATACCCCACTCAGACACAGTATACTGACTCCGTGCCGACAAGTCCTTGTTTTAGTCCCTTAATGCCGAGCACCAGACAGGGTAACAACAAGTACCATATTTTAACGTCCTTTGGTATGACGCGGCTGGGTATCAAACCCCGGACCTTCCGCTCTCCCACTAGACCACGGAGGCGGTCAAATCTGTAAGAAATAAGAAATGGACATCCTGCATCAAATGTTCAGATACTCTTTAGACATTGTCAAACAAGATCCGTGCTCGTGGGGTCACAGGCGCCGCAATTTGATGTGCAGAGTTGCGGCCCTTATGCACGCAAGGAAACTATGATTGTCGGTTAGAATCCCGGTTTGCCCTGATTGTGTTTCTAGGTTTGTCAGCACCATACCCGTGTTCGTAGGTTTCAACACAGTGGTAACCATCTGAAACCTGCATCACTTCGGGTCTCCCTACCACATTAAGCTGACACGCCGTTATGACTGAAATGCTGTTCAAAGCGGCGTTAAACCCAACAAACTCACGCAGCAGTCTATAGACACAGGAGCACATTCTTGAGAATTGCCATTTAGAATATCACCAAATAGTGTACGGAAATAAGAACAGCTGCGCTGTCATGAATGCTTCGCTCAGACTGAATAATTTAGCCCTCGGCGCTGATTGGGTGATTAAAAAATTCGCATGATGCGACCCCCGATGGAGGGGTGTCAGGGTCGTATCGGAGAAAACATTTTAATGAGATTGTCGCTTGTCTTCAAGTTTTTGTTTTCGGAAAACAGAAACTACTTTCTCTAGGACGTAAACATGACGTTGTTATAGCTGTGAAAACAAGACTTTAAAGCTGGTGCTCTAATAGAGTGAGTGAGTGAGTTGGGTTTAACGCCGCTTTTAACAGTATTCCAATTATATCACGGCGTGTCAGCTTAATGTGGGAGGAAAGCCCAAAGTGATGCAGGTCTCAGACGTTTACCACTTCGGTGAAACCCACGAGCACGGGTATGATGCTGACAAACCTAGAAACATAATCGGGGCGAACCGGGATTCGAACCCACAATCATAAGTTTCTGGCGTGCCCAAGGGACGCAACTCTGCACAGCGAATCGCGGCGCCTTAGACGACTGGGCCGCCCGTGCCCCCTTGCTCTAATAGAAGAGACTAGTGCGTGTTTGCCTCGGTCAGATATTAAATGCACGAAAACATCTTTATCCTTGCCAAGGGACCCTCCATTTTGTCTTTTTATGTTAATCCGGATTTATAAAAATGTATATAGATTTGTTGATAACATAAGTACATTGTCGGGCAAAGGCCTGGGCTATAGCGACAAAGTGTTCATATTTTCAATATTTAACAAATATCACAAAAAGAAATTATTCCTCCCAAAGCAGATTCCTCGGCTACGAAGATCGCCATTTTGTTATTTGACTTGTCCGGGGAGATGCTGACGATACTTTGAAATGTTGATGATGGTGAGTGAGGCGCCATGGACTTCTGCCATATATGAAAGGAAGTCGCACACGAGTTTGACTTTCATTTAAAACATCATATGTCTTAGTACAGATTATTGAATTGAGTATTTAATGTATGTGTGGTCACTGACGATGTTTGAAGGAGACTGTGTTTGGTGATGCATCATAACTGCCGGGCAAAAGACAGCATACACTTAAAACTTGGATTTAACCGAAAATTACAAAAAATATCAAAACGTTACAAGGCCGAAAGTAGTCACCAAAACACTACAAAAAAATACAAAAAAATGAAGCCCAAACACAACAACATATAATACTCGTATCAAATACATCACCATCGAATATTAACCATTTCTTGTTCGTTTTAGTTTAAGCCATCAAATTTGGTGTATACATTTTTCGTCCGGCAGTTCACTTTATATAATATATATGATGAACTCTTTAATGAAAGAAATTTAAATTCCATACCATGCTCAAAGTGACGACATTTGTTGCTGCGAAGACGTGAGTGCAGTGACACAATACAGTGTTTATTCCCGTGATGTTTATTGTGATGTGTTTGTCTACATATGCGTTGGTTATGTTTGTGATTCTGTGTACACGACAACACGTTCTATTGGTTGCTCATATTTGTATTAAATATATACCTCGTCAACTCATGCAGTCATGTTTTTACTGAATAAGTTTGTAGAACGCCCATTTAAAGAGTGTTTATGTTATATCACGTCATATCAGAAGGTGAGGTGAAATGGGGTTTAACGTCGCGACCAAGATTATTGCACTTATATAGCGACGTGCATGCATGTGTATCTGTGTGTGTGGCTGCTTGTACTAGTCCGGACTGATGCCGATTTATAGTGCTAGCACACTGAGATACCATGCCACAGTTTAACATGAATACCCCACTCAGATACGGTATACTGACTCCCAGCCTACCAGTCCTTCTTTTAGCCCCTTAATGCCGAGCACCAGACAGGGTAACAACAAGTACCAATGTTTAACGTCTTTTGGTATGACGCGGCCGGGATCCAACCCCGGACCTTCCGCTCTCCGGGCGGACGCTCTACCACTAGACCACGGAGGCGGTCCCAGCTTAAAGAAGGCCATGGAACCAATCATGAAGGTTTGAAGACATACAGAAACGCGTCACGACATTCATTTTCTGCACACGACACCACTGGCATGACGTTCAGTAAGTACTAATGTGTCGAACACCTCTGTGGCGCTAATGAACACGATAATGCTGGCCACGAATTTAGGAATGCCGACAGGCTTGAAAAAATATCTCATTGATAACTTCAATGGGGGCGAAATGTTGCTGTGGATTTTTACAAGCATTTTCGGGGACAATTAACATTTTCGTTAAAATCCCAGCTCCTCCCGAGGAATTTCAAATGGTCGGTACAAGGATTTGATCTACTCTGTCAGCTGTGATCAGACGTTTATAATCCTCCATGAATGAATGAATGAAAGAATGAATGACAGGACAATCTCTCTCGACTCTTGTCCCTTAACCTATATTTGTTTGGAGGCACAGTACGGTTCGGTTCTGGTGGTGAGGTGAGGTGAAATTGGGTTTAACGTCGCGTCCAAGATTATTGCACTTATATAGCGTGTGTCTGTGTGTGTGTGTGTGTGTGTGTGTGTGTGTGTGTGTTGCTGCTTGTACTAGTCCGGACTGATGCTGATTTATAGTGCTAGCCCACTGAGATACCATGCCGCAGTTTAACATGAATACCTCACTCAGACACAGTATACTGACTCCGAGCCGACCAGTCCTGACTCCCAGCGCCAGACACGGTAACAACAAGTACCAACTTTTAACGTATTTTGGTATGACGCGGCCGGGGATCGAACCCCGGACCTTCCGCTCTCCGGGCGGACGCTCTACCACTAGACCACGGAGGCGGTCCGGTATGAAAGCGTTCCAAGTGATGGTAAGTTCCAAACGTATTCCGTAGTTTCACATCGAAACTGTACACCAAAGCCTGCCAACACTCCAAACCGATCGCCACTGGTGAAGTCTGCGCATACCGGATGTTCTCAACATAAAGAGCCTCAAGACTTCCGCCGGTGACCGGAAGGATGACCTGCGCTAGCTCAAGGCACATCTAACCGACTTCCTCATCACCTCAGTGCCTAGGGACCTGGCTTCTTTGTAAATCATTGATAGTTAGTCCGTCATCTGACTGGGGAAAGGGGGGC